CTGAGGGAGGGAGACAGCACCAGGTAATACAGTCTGTGGTAATAACCAGTACTTACTACAGTCTGTGGTAATAACAATACTTACTACAGTCTGTGGTAATAACCGTACTCACTACAGTCTGTGGTAATAACCAGTACTTACTACAGTCTGTGGTAATAACAATACTTACTACAGTCTGTGGTAATAACAATACTTACTACAGTCTGTGGTAATAACCAGTACTCACTACAGTCTGTGGTAATAACCAGTACTCACTACAGTCTGTGGTAATAACAGTACTCACTACAGTCTGTGGTAATAACAGTACTCACTACAGTCTGTGGTAATAACCAGTACTCACTACAGTCTGTGGTAATAACCAGTACTCACTACAGTCTGTGGTAATAACCAGTACTCACTACAGTCTGTGGTAATAACCAGTACTCACTACAGTCTGTGGTAATAACAGTACTCACTACAGTCTGTGGTAATAACCAGTACTTGCTACAGTCTGTGGTAATAACAGTACTCACTACAGTCTGTGGTAATAACCAGTACTTACTACAGTCTGTGGTAATAACCAGTACTCACTACAGTCTGTGGTAATAACCAGTACTTACTACAGTCTGTGGTAATAACAGTACTCACTACAGTCTGTGGTAATAACAGTACTCACTACAGTCTGTGGTAATAACCAGTACTCACTACAGTCTGTGGTAATAACCAGTACTTACTACAGTCTGTGGTAATAACCAGTACTCACTACAGTCTGTGGTAATAACCAGTACTCACTACAGTCTGTGGTAATAACCAGTACTAACCGTTCTGAAAGACAGGTTGTCCCTGTGCTACAGAGACACTGTTGAGGGTCAGGTTTCCTCTGTGAACTGTCAGTAAATCCAAACCCAGCATCATCTTCAGAGACTGGACACAAGAAAGAACACAATCATAACAACACACACTGTTGTGATTAACCTGTGTTAATGACATCACACACTGTTGTGTTTAACCTGTGTTAATGACATCACACACTGTTGTGTGTTTAACCTGTGTTAATGACAACACACACTGTTGTGTGTTTAACCTGTGTTAATGACAACACACACTGTTGTGTTTAACCTGTGTTAATGACAACACACACTGTTGTGTGTTTAACCTGTGTTAATGACAACACACACTGTTGTGTGTTTAAACTGTGTTAATGACAACACACACTGTTGTGTTTAACCTGTGTTAATGACATCACACACTGTTGTGTGTTTAACCTGTGTTAATGACAACACACACTGTTGTGTGTTTAACCTGTGTTAATGACAACACACACTGTTGTGTTTAACCTGTGTTAATGACAACACACACTGTTGTGTGTTTAACCTGTGTTAATGACAACACACACTGTTGTGTGTTTAACCTGTGTTAATGACAACACACACTGTTGTGTTTAACCTGTGTTAATGACATCACACACTGTTGTGTGTTTAACCTGTGTTAATGACAGCATAGAGTGACACCCTTGGGACTCCGTGGGCCAAGATGAGGGCCCACCTTGCCTTGTTGATGGTCCGCGGACGGTCCGTGTGTGTGTGCATGTGTATGTGTATGTGTGTGTGTGCATGTGTGTGTGTGTAGTTGTGGAGACCTTAGAGCACTGGGCCTCGTCGCAGCTGCTGCTCACATACACAGCCCAGGTCCCGTCCGTGGAGGAGGACAGCAGGTAGGTGCAGTCGCCCTGGAAGTGGAAGTGTTTGCGGTCGAAGCTGCGATAGTGGCTGCCTCCCCAGGACACACACGTGGCAGACCCCTGTGGGGCCCTCATGCTGGTCAGGAGGCCCCCACGGACCCCTGAGGATCTCTGGGAGTCTGCAAGACACAGGTACAAGCCTTAATAGTATTAGTGCGAGTTATTAGTATATAGTATTAGAACAAGTCAGCATGGAGTAGATACATCTGAAAGATCAAGTGATACAAAAGCATATTATAGCACACACACATGCACAACATGCTCACAGACATACATACACTCACACACACTCACACACATACACACGTACACATGTGCACTCACACACACACATGCACACACAGACATGCACTCACACACATACACACATACACATGTGAACTCACACACACACACACACACACACATGCACAACATGCTCACAGACATACATACACTCACACACACTCACACACACATACACCCACACTAGAGCCCTGCACGGGCCTATTATCTGGGCCCGAGCCCGGCCCTGGCCCGAGGGGGTGGCGCCCCAGCCCGGCCCGGCCCGATATGGTTTCTCAATTTTCAGGCCCGAAACCCGCATCAAGCCCGCCTTTTTTTTTTTTTTTTGTAACCTCCCATAATAATAATAATAATAATAATAATGCATCGGTTTTATATAGCGCTTTTTTGGACACTCAAAGACGCTTCACATGTGTCATTATTCATTCACTCCATACACGGTGGTGATAAACTACTACTGTAGCCACAGCTGCCCTGGGGCACACTGACAGAAGCGAGGCAACCAGTATGTGCCATCAGCCCCTCTGACCACCACCAACCATTCATACACACACCAGACTCATTCTAGGCAATGGGGGTGAAGTGTCTTGCCTAAGGACACAACGGCAGTTTGGCACTTTACAGCCGCAGCCGCCCCACTGTGGCTGGTGTTCCCAGAGGTTAAGTGTCTTGCCAAGGACACAACGACAGTAGTCAGTGGGAGTCGATGGTGAAAGTCTTGAGCGGGGATTGAACCCACGACCTTCTGGCTCAAAGGCCAATGCTCTACCAACTGAGCTACTGCCGCCCTAGATAACAATGTTTTAGCGTAGTATATAGTGCCGCGCACTGATATGAACGCAGACTTAGCTAGAGGGCGGAGTTATACATGGTAGTGATGTGTTGCAATGAGTTCTGTGTGTGCGGAGTGGTGCAGAGTGAACGGCCGCAGCTGTATGATACACAGCTGTATGATGCCCAGATGCTGCAACACACCTGTAAGTAACGCTATGTGCCGTCAATGACAACACTACACAGAACAACAAACACTACAGCGTGATAGAACGCTATATTCAGTGGGTGCGTTCGTAAATGTATTGTGCCGCTCTGAAAATGAAGAGCCCGAGCCCGGCCCGTGTCCGAGGTCATTATGCGGTCATCGGCCCGAAGCCCGGCCCTCGGGCTGTCGGGCCGTCGGGGCCCTCGGGCCAAGGGCTCAAGTGCAGGGCTCTAACCCACACACATACACATGTGCACTCACACACACACATGCACACAGACATATACGCACACATACACACACCACACACACACATGCACAACATGCTCACAGACATACATACATACATACACACACACATGCACTCACACACATACACACGTACACATGTGAACTCACACACACACACACACACACATGCACAACATGCTCACAGACATACACACACACACACACATGCACTCACAGACACATATACGCACACATGCACACTTGCACAACATACACACAGACATTTGTGTGTGCATGTGTAACTTTGAATAAATAGGACCCACCGGGGAGCAGGGTGTAGCTGCAGGACAGGCAGGTGTGGTCAGACATGTTCCTCCAGCTCAGAGCCCACCTCTGCTCACAGCACTGCTCCATCTGCACCAGGGACAGGTTGGACATCCCAGGGAGGTCCTCACAGTTCCAGGTGGAGAAGCACTGGCCCCGGGCCCCTACGGCTGCACCACATCGCCACAGTTAGCCAAGACAGGACCAGTAAGTTAGCCAGCAGAAGCAACTATACCAGAAGTGGTCTATAGTTCAACTTCAATGTAATGAAAAACCATGCGTTCTTTGTCCAAGTCAAAAGTCACTTTCACCTTATGGGAATATGAAAAACTGGACAGAGCTAACACGTCTCCAGTTAATTCTGGAGCAGATGAAGAGCCTCTGTGTCGTACCTTGTGTGCAGTGAGGTCCACTCCAGCCGTCACAGCAGGCGGTCAGGGTCCGGTTCACCTCCTGCTTCTGCACCTGCGCCGCCCTGACACACACACACAGATTAGGGTTCTATTATATACTTATACTTTGAATATGTGCATGTACTTTTACAACATAGTAGAGTTTTACCTGACAAGCTCGACAATGGGGCAATAAAGGGACACAATAATGTAATTTTTTTATGGCCGGACTTGGAAAGATCAGCTGCACAGACCTGGAAGCTGTGAGTATAAAGTGTGTATAAAACAGAAAAATGAAACAACACTCCTTGAGCGTTCTTGAACAAAGGGTCTCCAGTAGCAACCGCAGCAGAGTGAGACATCTGTGGCTTGTGTAAGAGCTGCTCACTGGTTAAACACGTGTAAAAGCAGAGGAGCAGACGCTGAATGGAGTTTGTTTTCTCTCGCTGTGAGGTAAACAGGATGAAGCTCATCGGTAAATGTCAGTCCCACTTACGAGCTTTAAAGTGACGTGCACTGGCACCAGGAAAACTCTGAAAACAGGGGCTTGGGTTAGAGCTAACCCTCCTCCCGGGCCCAAGGTTAGCACTAACTCGTAACCCTAAGTATTGAGACGCACTCAGGAGGCTTCAATCAATGACTTTTAGCCTAACCCTCACTGGATATGGTTATAACAAAGGTATTTCATATACTTCCCTCTTCGCACACACTTCCTCCAGCTCATCTGGTGCAGCGGGTTCCCAGACCTCTGAGAGACCCAGTCCTCTGAGACCCAGTCCTCTGAGACCCAGTCCTCTGAGACCCAGTCCTCTGAGACCCAGTCCTCTGAGACCCAGTCCTCTGAGACCCAGTCATCTGAGACCCAGTCCTCTGAGACCCAGTCCTCTCAGACACTGTCCTCTGAGACACGGCCCTGAGACACTGTCCTCTGAGACACTGTCAGAAGGTGTACAATGCGTGAGCAACCTTGTATTTCTTTATTAATTTGACCAGGACAGAACCAGTCTCTGCTCTGGTACAGTGCACATGTGCCCGCTCACCCACACCCGCTGCAGAGACCACATCACCCCCATCCTCAAACAACTGCACTGGCTCCTAATCCATACTGCAAACAAAACCAAGTCCTCATCTACAAGTCCCTCCATAACCTGCTCCTTCTTACCTCACTGACCTCCTCCATCTCTGACCTCCTCCATCACTGACCTCCTCCATCACTGACCTCCATCATCACTGACCTCCTCCATCACTGACCTCCTCCATCACTGACCTCCTCCATCTCTGACCTCCTCCATCACTGACCTCCTCCATCTCTGACCTCCTCCATCACTGACCTCCTCCATCACTGACCTCCATCATCACTGACCTCCTCCATCAGCACTGACCTCCTTCATCACTGACCTCCTCCATCTCTGACCTCCTCCATCACTGACCTCCTCCATCACTGACCTCCATCATCACTGACCTCCTTCATCACTGACCTCCTCCATCACTGACCTCCTCCATCACTGACCTCCTCCATCACTGACCTCCTCCATCTCTGACCTCCTCCATCACTGACCTCCTCCATCACTGACCTCCATCATCACTGACCTCCTCCATCACTGACCTCTTCCATCACTGACCTCCTCCATCACTGACCTCCATCATCACTGACCTCCTTCATCACTGACCTCCATCATCACTGACCTCCTCCATCAGCACTGACCTCCTTCATCACTGACCTCCTCCATCTCTGACCTCCTCCATCAGCACTGACCTCCTTCATCTCCGACCGCACACGTGGCCTTCTCTCTTACTTGTAGAGCGCACACGTGGCCTTCTCTCTTACTTGTAGAGTGCACACGTGGCCTTCTCTCTTACTTGTAGAGTGCACACGTGGCCTTCTCTCTTACTTGTAGAGCACACACGTGGCCTTCTCTCTTACTTGTAGAGCGCACACGTGGCCTTCTCTCTTACTTGTAGAGTGCACACGTGGCCTACTCTCTTACTTGTAGAGAGCACACGTGGCCTTCTCTCTTACTTGTAGAGCACACACGTGGCCTTCTCTCTTACTTGTAGAGCGCACACGTGGCCTTCTCTCTTACTTGTAGAGCGCACACGTGGCCTTCTCTCTTACTTGTAGAGCGCACACGTGGCCTTCTCTCTTACTTGTAGAGTGCACACGTGGCCTTCTCTCTTACTTGTAGAGCGCACACGTGGCCTTCTCTCTTACTTGTAGAGTGCACACGTGGCCTTCTCTCTTACTTGTAGAGGCACACGTGGCCTTCTCTCTTACTTGTAGAGTGCACACGTGGCCTTCTCTCTTACTTGTAGAGCGCACACGTGGCCTTCTCTCTTACTTGTAGAGCGCACACGTGGCCTTCTCTCTTACTTGTAGAGCGCACACGTGGCCTTCTCTCTTACTTGTAGAGCGCACACGTGGCCTTCTCTCTTACTTGTAGAGTACACACGTGGCCTTCTCTCTTACTTGTAGAGTGCACACGTGGCCTTCTCTCTTACTTGTAGAGCGCACACGTGGCCTTCTCTCTTACTTGTAGAGTACACACGTGGCCTTCTCTCTTACTTGTAGAGCGCACACGTGGCCTTCTCTCTTACTTGTAGAGTGCACACGTGGCCTTCTCTCTTACTTGTAGAGCGCACACGTGGCCTTCTCTCTTACTTGTAGAGCGCACACGTGGCCTTCTCTCTTACTTGTAGAGCGCACACGTGGCCGTCTCTCTTACTTGTAGAGCGCACACGTGGCCTTCTCTCTTACTTGTAGAGCGCACACGTGGCCTTCTCTCTTACTTGTAGAGCGCACACGTGGCCGTCTCTCTTACTTGTAGAGCGCACACGTGGCCGTCTCTCTTACTTGTAGAGTGCACACGTGGCCTTCTCTCTTACTTGTAGAGCGCACACGTGGCCGTCTCTCTTACTTGTAGAGCGCACACGTGGCCGTCTCTCCTTGCTGCTGGTAGTAGGCCGCAATGGCGTCGTCGTCCCCGTGGCGAGCTCTCATTCGCTCCACGTCCAGCCGCCAGCCCTGCATGTTGTACTGAAAGACCTGAGAGCAGCGCACTTCCTGCTGCAGGCGCGGGCTCAGCAGGGTTTCCTCCAGGTGCTGCTGCGTCTGTTCACACCAGTGTCTGTGAACAACAACATTACTAATATCTATTCATCCTTTTGAATATCACTTTTACTAATGCTTCTACTCCTATGTTTACTTATATCTAACTCTAACCCATGAATGTTAAAGATAATTAAAGCTGGGGTACTTAACATTTCAAATCACAAAACTGTAGAAAGATATTATGTATTTTTTTTGCGCTTACAAATATGTTTAGACTTTTTACCCATTTTATTTAAGTTTTAGAATGTGAAATAATATATGGGCAGAGAATATATGATTAAATAACAGCTAAATCGCCACCGGGGGAGCGACGTCTGTAGTCAGAGCTCCCGGGAACTCCACATATCACAGACTTTACATTTGATGGTAGAGAATGTTAATTCACCTGAGAAACTTAATTTTGTGCAATCACTTTTTGAAAGGCAAAAAACTGCTCAGAGTGTGATGTCATAGTGATGCCATTGTGGTGCAGTGACATCATACTGTCACAGAACTGAGACAGGAGTTTTTAGACAGAAGGGGCGGAGCTACAGCCCGTCTGTCCATGGAAGTCAATGTGACTTTACTGATCTCACAATGGAGACATTTGGCATAAATAGTATCACTCAGGTGTGAAAAGAACAGGAAATGTTAAACAGTGAAAAGTCCCTTTCCAGATATATTATGTACAAATTAAATTAAAGTGACTAAAGCAGTACAAAGTTTATAATTTTCTCCCTCCTTTTATTGTTTTTCCTTTCCGATGCAGGAGAGGTCTAAGGAGACAGCTTATTGTAATTTTTTCCAGTGTGAGATCAATAAAGTCTATCTTATCTTATCTGATGATCTACGAAACCCAACATTTAACACATTTATGGACTTTATTAGCATTTATGGACATTGGTCTCTGTCCCTTATTAGGGCGACACGGTGGCTGAGTGGACAGCACTCTCGCCTCTCAGCAAGAAGTTCCTGGGTTTGAATTCCCGGTCGGAACAGGGTCCTTCAGTGGAGTTTGCATGTTCTCCCTGTGCCTGCGTAGGTTTCCTCCGGGTACTCCGGTTTCCCCTACCACTAAAAACATGCACACTAGGTTAAATCCTCCAGCTCCGGTCCTGACCAAGCCGAGCATTAACATGTGGAGATGGGTTCCCGGGCGCTGTTACTAAGGCGACCACTGCTCCTGACGTAAGCCTTAGGGCATCAGGATGGGTCAAATGCAGAGGATGAATTGCCCTACGGGGAAGTGCACCTTTACCTTAAACCAATGGCTCTATGTGTTTGTTAATATTACATTTCCTGTGTTTGAACTGTGTGATTCTCCGATCTGTTGTTGGCGAATCCACGGTTTGTAAAGTGCTCTGAGATAACTACTGTTGTGATTTAGGGCGTCTACACATGGTCAGACTCACCCCTTCCCCTGGACGCTGCCCGGAGCCTGCAGCAGCAGCAGCAGCAGCAGCAGCATACTTCTCCCCCACATCGTCATGGGTTACTCTTATTCTGTGGTCAGGCTGCAAGAAAAACAGTCTTTAGGGTTAATGTCATATCTGCCACATTAAAGACAAAGGATCTAAACATCACTGCACAAGTCAAACATTTAAAAAACATGAATAAACACAACCTTTGAAGGATTTTCTAATAGTCAGAGTTCCACTTGTATTCCTTATGTTCCAGTGAGTGTTGGGAGTAACGCGTTCCAAAAGTATACTGTAATGACTGTAATGTGTTGCTTTTTGCTGTAACGCAGTGATGTAGGCCTTCCACAGAAACTGGTTTATACCCACGAGATCAGCAGGAGCCACGTCTGCTCCAACAGTATGTGTTTAAAGGTTCATTTCTGTAGAAGACGCTGAGGCTGAAGCAGCTCTATGTGGACAATGGTCATTTTACAGATGGACAAACTATATTTAGAGTTTGTTAAAGATGTGGAACATAAAAGTTAAGTCTATGTTCAAACCAAAAACTCTATTTATAAGCTTATAGAGTAGCTTATAAATGTACTCTATAAGCTACATTTAGTTTATATATGTCTATATATATATATAGCATCATAAGCTCCATTTAGTTTGTGTTTATATATTTGAGGAAAGTAACTTTAAAGTAATTCAGTAGTGTCCTACTTTCTGATTCAGAGACAGTAATATTGTAGCAACACATAAAGTTTACAGTGAATCCAGGACTGAAGAGAACTTAAAGTCTTTAACAGAACCTTGAAGCTAAAAAAACTATGAAATTGACTTACGCCATAACAATCCAATGTGAACCTGGTGAGTCTGTAGTTACTTCTGTAGCTCCTCGTAATCCCAACAGGACGCTCTCAATCCATCCAGGATGTTTGGCCCGGTCCCTGTGCCAGTCCGGGTTTAACCACGAGGGCGGGGCTAGAGCAGAGGGGTCCCCTCTGATTGGTCCAGAACAGAGGGCTTCAGAGCGGGGTTAGGGTTCAGGTCAACCTGTTTACTGTCTCTATGTGATGTCACACAAAGAAACACACACCGAGGTCCAGGACACTACAATATGACAATCTCAGTCAGCTCTCTGCACCACACTCTTCTCTCTCTGCACCACACTCTTCTCTCTCTGCACCACACTCTTCTCTCTCTGCACCGCACTCTTCTCTCTCTGCACCGCACTCTCTCTCCACCACACTCTCTCTCCACCGCACTCTCTCTCCACCACACTCTCTCTGCACCACACTCTTCTCTCTCTGCACCGCACTCTTCTCTCTCTGCACCACACTCTCTCTCCACCGCACTCTCTCTCCACCGCACTCTCTCTCCACCGCACTCTCTCTCCACCGCACTCTCTCTCCACCACACTCTCTCTCCACCACACTCTCTCTCCATCACACTCTCTCTCCACCACACTCTCTCTCCACCACACTCTCTCTCCACCGCACTCTCTCTCCACCGCACTCTCTCTCCACCGCACTCTCTCTCCACCGCACTCTCTCTCCACCGCACTCTCTCTCCACCACACTCTCTCTCCACCGCACTCTCTCTCCACCGCACTCTCTCTCTCCACCACACTCTCTCTCCACCACACTTTCTCTCCACCACACTCTCTCTGCACCACACTCTCTCTCCACCGCACTCTCTCTCCACCACACTCTCTCTCCACCACACTCTCTCTCCACCACACTCTCTCTGCACCGCACTCTCTCTGCACCGCACTCTCTCTCCACCACACTCTCTCTCCATCACACTCTCTCTCCACCGCACTCTCTCTCCACCACACTCTCTCTGCACCACACTCTCTCTCCACCACACTCTTCTCTCTCTCCACCACACTTTCTCTCCACCACACTCTCTCTCCACCACACTCTCTCTCCACCACACTCTCTCTCCACCACACTCTCTCTCCACCACACTCTCTCTCCACCGCACTCTCTCTCCACCGCACTCTCTCTGCACCGCACTCTCTCTGCACCGCACTCTCTCTCCACCACACTCTCTCTGCACCGCACTCTCTCTCCACCGCACTCTTCTCTCTCTCCACCACACTCTTCTCTCTCTCCACCACACTCTCTCTCCACCACACTCTTCTCTCTCTCCACCACACTCTCTCTCCACCACACTCTCTCTCCACCGCACTCTCTCTCCACCACACTCTCTCTCCACCACACTCTCTCTCCACCACACTCTCTCTCCACCGCACTCTCTCTCCACCGCACTCTCTCTGCACCGCACTCTCTCTGCACCGCACTCTCTCTCCACCACACTCTTCTCTCTCTCTCCACACACTCTTCTCTCTCTCCACCACACTCTTCTCTCTCTCCACCACACTCTCTCTCCACCACACTCTCTCTCCACCGCACTCTCTCTCTCCCACACTCTCTCTCCACCACACTCTCTCTCCCACCACACTCTCTCTCCACCACACTCTCTCTCCACCACACTCTCTCTCCACCGCACTCTCTCTCCACCGCACTCTCTCTCCACCGCACTCTCTCTCCACCGCACTCTCTCTCCACCACACTCTCTCTCCACCGCACTCTCTCTCCACCGCACTCTCTCTCTCTCCACCACACTCTCTCTCCACCCACACTTTCTCTCCACCACACTCTCTCTGCACCACACTCTCTCTCCACCGCACTCTCTCTCCACCACACTCTCTCTCCACCACACTCTCTCTCCACCACACTCTCTCTGCACCGCACTCTCTCTCCACCGCACTCTCTCTCCACCGCACTCTCTCTCCACCGCACTCTCTCTCCACCGCACTCTCTCTCCACCGCACTCTCTCTCCACCACACTCTCTCTCCACCGCACTCTCTCTCCACCACACTCTCTCTCCACCACACTCTCTCTCCACCGCACTCTCTCTCCACCGCACTCTCTCTCCACCACACTCTCTCTCCACCACACTCTCTCTCCACCGCACTCTCTCTCTCCACCGCACTCTCTCTCCACCACACTCTCTCTCCACCACACTCTCTCTCCACCACACTCTCTCTCCACCACACTCTTCTCTCTCTCCACCACACTTTCTCTCCACCACACTCTCTCTCCACCACACTCTCTCTCCACCACACTCTCTCTCCACCACACTCTCTCTGCACCACACTCTCTCTGCACCGCACTCTCTCTCCACCACACTCTTCTCTCTCTCCACCACACTCTTCTCTCTCTCCACCACACTCTCTCTCCACCGCACTCTCTCTCCACCACACTCTCTCTCCACCACACTCTCTCTCCACCGCACTCTCTCTCCACCACACTCTCTCTCCACCGCACTCTCTCTCCACCACACTCTCTCTCCACCGCACTCTCTCTCCACCGCACTCTCTCTCCACCACACTCTTCTCTCTCTCTCACCACACTCTTCTCTCTCTCCCCACACTCTCTCTCCACCACTCTCTCTCCACCACACTCTCTCTCCACCACACTCTCTCTGCACCACACTCTCTCTCCACCACACTCTTCTTCTCTCTCACCGCACTCTCTCCACTTCACTCTCTTCTCTCTCTCCACCACACTCTCTCTCCACCACTCTTCTCTCTCTCCACCGCACTCTCTCCACTTCACTCTCTTCTCTCTCTCCACCACTCTTCTCTCTCTCCACCGCACTCTCTCCACTTCACTCTCTTCTCTCTATCCACCACACTCTCCACCACACTCTTTTTCCACTGCCCTCTCTCCACCACACTCTTTTTCCACCGCACTCTCTTCTCTCTCTCCACCACACTCTTCTCTCGCTCCTTCCTCTGGGTGTGAGTGTGTTTTAGTTAAAGTGAAGAACACTGATGGAGAGAATATCCATCAGTTTATATCTAACCAATATCTATTGATTTGGACTTTCTGTCATACTACTGCGTCACTGTCTGACTCTTTGGGCTGAGAGCTGATTGGCTGAGTGAGGAAGATCCTCTCTTCTTCACTTTTCAGCCTGATCTAATGATCACTGATCTGTTCTCTCTGTAGCTTCTCATCCTCGTCTCCTTTGATGACAGTTCTTGACAGATCTGTCAGAGCAGAGGGGGAGGGGCCAGTGTTTGCTCTGGGACTAATCCTGTAAAAGAAAAGTGTTTCGGGAAAGGATCCTCTGTGGCCTCGTCAAACACAGCTGGGCCCAGACTCATACTGCAGCTACAGGTCAGAGCAAAACACTGCAGTCCAGAGTCTACTGCACCGGTATCAATACTACACCGGTATCAATACTGCACCGGTATCAATACTAGGCCGGTATCAATACTACACTGGTATCAATACTACACCGGTATCAATACTACACTGGTATCAATACTACACTGGTATCAATACTACACTGGTATCAATACTACACTGGTATCAATACTACACTGGTATCAATTCCAAACATGCATTTATACATCTGGAGCATGCGGTGTAGTACCCAGTGTAGAACCTAGTGTAGTACCCAGTGTAGAACCTAGTGTAGTACCCAGTGTAGTACCCAGTGTAGTACCCAGTGTAGAACCCAGTGTAGTACCCAGTGTAGAACCCAGTGTAGAACCCAGTGTAGAACCCAGTGTAGTACCCAGTGTAGTACCCAGTGTAGAACCCAGTGTAGTACCCAGTGTAGTACCCAGTGTAGTACCCAGTGTAGTACCTAGTGTAGTACCCAGTGTAGTACCCAGTGTAGTACCCAGTGTAGAACCCAGTGTAGTACCCAGTGTAGTACCCAGTGTAGAACCCAGTGTAGTACCCAGTGTAGAACCCAGTGTAGTACCCAGTGTAGTACCCAGTGTAGTACCCAGTGTAGTACCCAGTGTAGTATCTAGTGTAGTACCCAGTGTAGTACCCAGTGTAGTACCCAGTGTAGAACCCAGTGTAGAACCCAGTGTAGTACCCAGTGTAGAACCCAGTGTAGTACCCAGTGTAGTACCCAGTGTAGTACCCAGTGTAGAACCCAGTGTAGTACCCAGTGTAGTACCCAGTGTAGTACCCAGTGTAGTACCTAGTGTAGTACCCAGTGTAGTACCCAGTGTAGAACCCAGTGTAGTACCCAGTGTAGTAGTACCCAGTGTAGTACTCAGTGTAGTACCCAGTGTAGTACCCAGTGTAGTATCTAGTGTAGTACCCAGTGTAGTACCCAGTGTAGTACCCAGTGTAGTACCCAGTGTAGAACCCAGTGTAGTACCCAGTGTAGTACCCAGTGTAGTACCCAGTGTAGTACCTAGTGTAGTACCCAGTGTAGTACCCAGTGTAGAACCCAGTGTAGTACCCAGTAGTACCCAGTGTAGACCCAGTGTAGTACCAGTGTAGTACCATGTAGTACCCAGTGTAGTACCCAGTGTAGTATTAGTACCAGTGTGTACCCAGTGTAGTACCAGTGTAGAACCCAGTGTAGTACCCAGTGTAGTACCAGTGTAGAACCATGTAGTACCAGTGTAGTACCAGTGTAGTACCCAGTGTGTACAGTGAGTACCAGTGTAGTACCCAGTGTAGAACCAGTGTAGTACCAGTGTAGTACCATGTACTAGTGTAGTACCCAGTGTAGTACCCAGTGTAGTACCCAGTGTAGTACCCAGTGTAGTACCCAGTGTAGTACCAGTGTAGAACCAGTGTAGTACCAGTGTAGTACCAGTGTAGTACCCAGTGTAGTACCTAGTGTAGTACCCAGTGTAGTACCCAGTGTAGAACCCAGTGTAGTACCCAGTGTAGTACCCAGTGTAGAACCCAGTGTAGTTACCCAGTGTAGTACTCAGTGTAGTACCCAGTGTAGTACCCAGTGTAGTATCTAGTGTAGTACCCAGTGTAGTACCCAGTGTAGTACCCAGTGTAGAACCCAGTGTAGTACCCAGTGTAGTACCCAGTGTAGAACCCAGTGTAGAACCCAGTGTAGTACCCAGTGTAGTACCCAGTGTAGAACCCAGTGTAGTACCCAGTGTAGTACCCAGTGTAGTACCCACTACCCGGTCATCATATCTCTGAAATTGCACCTGTATAGACTGTATAGACTGTGTTATGTGCCCCCTACAGACTTAAATAAATGTCCCTCTGTCCCAACAAATGCCTTGAGCTCTTGAGTTGTACAGGGCTGATGTTCGGCCCCAGAGTCACTGAAGTGGGACACAGCTGCAGAGAATCCTTGGATTCAGTTTGTATGAGTGCAAACCGCACAGAGCCTCAGAGCAGCAGCAGCTCACACTTCAACTTAATGTATGTAAGTAGAACAAGGCCAATTCCCTCCTTCTCTTAACCCCTTCTCTGCCGCGGCCCTGCCACACTTCCCACCTCCAGACTGCGCGTCCCAGGAGCACTGTTATCTGCTCAGCATGTTTGTCCTCAGATTTACAGCCCACATTTGTTCCAGTTAAAGTCCAGTCCTTCATAGCAGCGAGGGCAGTAACAGACAGAGCAGCCGTCCCTCTGCAGGTAAGAGAACACACTTACATCAGGGGAGAGGGGGAGAGGGGTGAGGGACATGGGGAGAGAGAGAGAAGGACATGGACAGGGACATGGAGAGGGGGATATAGGGAGAGAGGAGCATGGAGAGGGGGACATAGGGAGAGAGGGGCATGGAGAGGGGGACATAGGGAGAGAGGAGCATGGAGAGGGGGACATAGGGAGAGAGGAGCATGGAGAGGGGGACATAGGGAGAGAGGGGCATGGAGAGGGGGACATAGGGAGAGAGGGGCATGGAGAGGGGGACATAGGGAGAGAGGGGCAAAGGGAGAGGGACCGTAACTGTCTTTGGATGGATGCTGTTAGTGTGCAGTGATTTATGCTGTGATGACTGCACTTTCTCGCTCCCATGTGTCTTTATGACAGTTAGGGTTTTGTTCTAGTTTAGAGCAGGGGACGCCAACCTGAGGCTCTCCGACCACATCTGGTGCTCGGCCAATCAGATTGCGACTCTTTGCCTCTCATCAGGTTTGATAGAATATTGTCACAATATGCGTTAATTGCCATCTGTCTTCTCTCCAGAGCCTTTCACCGAGATGTAAGAGTCTCCCTTTAAAATTATTTGTAGTTTAGTATAGCTCTAAATCACAACACAGATCAGGGAATCAAAGCGTTCAAACACAAGAAATGCAATGATAAAAAAACACATTTAACTATCGGTCCATAAGAAGCCGAGACCAAGGTCTATGAATGTGGAGTGTACTGGATCCTCACCACTGTCCCTAGACTCTCCTGCCTCAGAGAAGAACAACTCTAAAGTGTGAAAAAGCGACACATTGAGAGAGGGATTCACTTAATGTGGATGGGCTGTAGATCCAGGACTGAGGTTGTAGACCCAGGACTGAGGCTGTAGATCCAGGACTGAGGTTGTAGATCCAGGACTGAGGCTGTAGATCCAGGACTGAGGTTGTAGATCCAGGACTGAGGTTGTAGACCCAGGACTGAGGCTGTAGATCCAGGACTGAGGCTGTAGACCCAGGACTGAGGCTGTAGACCCAGGACTGAGGCTGTAGACCCAGGACTGAGGCTGTAGACCCAGGACTGAGGTTGTAGACCCAGGACTGAGGCAGCAGACCCAGGACTGAGGCTGTAGACCCAGGATTGAGGCTGCAGACCCAGGACTGAGGCTGTAGACCCAGGACTGAGGCTGTAGACCCAGGACTGAGGCTGTAGACCCAGGACTGAGGCTGCAGACCCAGGACTGAGGCTGCAGACCCAGGACTGAGGCTGTGGTAATACTACATTATACAACATTTAAACAGTGTTCTGTTCGCTGTTCCCCAGACCCTGACCTTGACAGTGACCAGTTACAGAACAAACAGTGCCAACAACATGAGCCAAACCATGACCATAAACGTCTCTGGCCGACTGAACTTTGAGATCTCACAGTGATCTTATCAGGGTGAGGTGAAGGAGGCAGAACAGACTCCAACAATGGAATAAGAAAGTTTACTGTGGCCTATAAAAGTCTTTTGTAACAGTTACAGAAGTCACATGGGGGACAGTTACATGTAGAAGAAACGACAGGCAAAGAAAATCACCTCAGACCCTTCTCATGACCTCTTTGGCCCTCATGTATGAAAGTTGCGCAGAAAAGGGTGTTTATTCCATTTACGCAAGATCCAACGTGGGATTTATGAACGTGTGAGATGCGCACAGATCTGAGCGTACGCAGCTGCGGGTCCCGCGGCTGAAAACAAACGTATTTATGAAAGTCACGCCTAGAATTATGCAGCAATCGTTTGTTTCACGCCCCGTTTTTGCGACAGGTCAGCAGGAAGCAGGCCAAAAAGATTTTTTGGAAGCGTCAAAAGGCCTGTGGCACGTTTGTTTGTTCATGGTTATGTAAAAATAAATATATGCTATATATTCAGCTGCGTTTTGAACAAATTTGCAAAAATGTTTTGATAAATTAGAAAAATCTCTCTTGAATTGTAGAAGTGAATAAATATAGAAGTGAATAATGAATGAATGAATTCATATTGTGCAGCGGTGGCTCTCATCACTGAAGCGTCTGCAGCGTCTGAATGCACTGAAGCGCTGTACACTTGAGAGAGCGTTTGCAGTCCAGATTCTACAGAGAAACTCTGGAGCCAAAACTTCTGAATGACAGCATTTGAGGAGTTATGTGGCGCGTCTCTCATGGCACCTGCTGTGGATGCACTCCTAAGACATGGACAGTGAGACATTTGGAGTGAGCAATGCCATAGTCCATCGGTCCATGCGTTAATGGTGTGTGTGTCTGTGTGGGGCTCACACACATCTAAAACATACATTGCTTTACCAAATTCAAATTCAGAAACATGATGCTCCATGAAAACACAGCTCATAATGTTGCCAGAGGGAACATGTTTATTGTTGTCCAAATCTTGAATTTCATGCGTGTTTTGTCGTGTTGTGACGAAGGGTGAAATGAGCGTACACATTTACACCACCTCCAGACTTGGTGTAAATTCTGTGCGTACCGTTCGCTCACGTCCAGATTGATAAATGCGGAAAAGTGTACATTTTTTGCGTACGCCTCATTTACTCTGATTTGGCCGTACGCAAGTTTCATACATGAGGCCCAATATAAGATAAGATAAACCTTTATTACTCTCACAGTGGAGAAATGTCAGTGTCATCGTTGCACATTACAGCAGAGAAAGGAAATAAGACTCAGACGCATACATCAAATAAGTCTATTATTTAAGATAATAGACAATAAAATCAAGATAAGAATAAAATAAAATGATATAAACTCTGGGCTATAATTGCACTTGGTTCGGTGCATACAGACAGTGGTAATATAGACATTTACAGATGTCTATATTATACATTAGCCACGGAGAATATGAGCAGAATAAACATCAGAAATAATATCAACAAGTAAAGTGACTTAAATGGGAGAATTATCAGATGGATATGAATAATACAGTCAATATCAACAGGTAAAGTGACAAAGTTACTAGTGAATTATCAGTGACTGATTAGCAGTTCCTGTTACACATTCTCGTTGTACAGCTCGAGACATCAGGCCGCCGCTACAGAGTACCAACTAGAAATAAGAAACGATATCTAAACCGGTATAAGAACTCATTCCTACTCATATCTGTGAACCTCCTGAATGAGGCCATCGAGCAGATGGTTTATGTCGGTGTTGTGTTTCTATGTCTATGTGTATTTTCAATGTAGCAGCCTGTGAGTCCAAGACAAATTTCCGACGGGACATAATGAATTAATCTTGAAGCTTTAATCTTGAAGAAGCAGCTGTGTTAACCTTAAGCCTTTATTTCCTAAACGTTCCTGTATTCCACTCCTTCCATCTTCCCATCAACTCTGACACTGCTGAAGGAATACAGTCCCATAGCCCGATGCTCCCCCCCCACATTATCTGACACTGGGGATGAGGCCCTGAGGGGACTTAGTAACAGTCAGAAATGTACCGTCCAGCTTGAGCCTAAACATAAAGCTAAAGCTGACAATGGGATCTTCAGATGAATGATGTCCAAGTCTTTGCTTATAAATGTGTCCCTGTGTTTTCAGACATGAAGGTCCTCTGGCTCCTCCCCCTGCTCTTCCTCGCTTCCTGTGATTGCATCAGAGGTCGTGAGTGGGCACATCATGGCGCCCCCATGTTTGCCGATCTGTCTGTGCGTGAACTTAAAGCTGTGCGCTCTTATCTCCACAACCTCCCTGAGCTGGGCCTGACCAATGCCCAGAACCCCAGCCTGAAGAAGAACAGTATTCTCCTCATGGAACTGCATCTTCCCCGGAAGCATGAGGCACTCCGAGCTCTCGACCGTGGGCAGGTCAGACCGTCCCGTCAGGCTCGGGTCGTGGTCCAGTTTGGGAATCAGACCAAACCAAATATTACAGAATACATTGTCAGTCCTCTTCCTTCGCCAAACTCCCACCAAGTGAAAACCTTTAAAGGGAACAAACCAATCCGCTTCGAGTCCAGACCCATCACAAAGGTTGAATATTCGCACATTGACAAAATCCTAAGAAAGATTTCCACAAAGATTGAGACGCTCCTGAAGGATCTGACCGGAGGGTTCTCTTACAACAACTGCACCGACCGCTGCTTGACTTTCTCTGACATCGCTCCTCGAGGTTTGGAGCCTGGAGAGAGAAGATCCTGGATAATGTTGCAGAAGTTTGTGGAAGGCTACTTCATCCACCCAATCGGCTTCGAGATCCTGATCAATCACCAAAACCTCGATCCAGAAAAGTGGACGGTGGAAAAGGTCTGGTTCAACAGCGTGTACTTCGACAGTGTTGAAGAACTCGTGGAAAAATACGAAGCAGGAAAACTTGAGGATTTCCCAAACCTTCCAGATCAGGACGACATTTATTCAACATACATTCCTCGAGGAAACAGCAACACGCCGACAGACATCCACGGACCCAAACTGGTGGAACCTCAAGGCCGTCGCTACCACGTGGACAGGAACTTTGTGGAGTACGCTGGCTGGTCATTCTCTTACCGTGTGCGGTCCTCAGCCGGTCTCCAAGTTTTTGATCTACGCTTCAACGGAGAGAGAATCGCGTACGAAATCAGCCTCCAAGAAGCCATCGCCTTCTACGCAGGGGACACTCCGGCAGCGATGCAGACCAAGTACATCGATGCAGGATGGGCGATGGGAGCCTCGTCCTTCGAGCTGGCGCCTGGGGTCGACTGTCCGGAAATCGCCACCTTCGTAGACCTCTACCACTTCTTCGACACGGATAAACCAGTGCGCCACAAGAACGCGCTCTGTATCTTCGAGATGAACACGGGGATGCCGCTCCGAAGGCATTTCAACTCAAACTTCACTGGCGGTTACAACTTTTACGGAGGTCTCGAGAATAATGTGCTCGTCCTGAGAACCACTTCCACCGTCTACAACTACGACTACATCTGGGACTTCCACTTCTACCAGAACGGAGTCGTGGAGGTCAAAGTCAGCGCAACAGGATACATCCACGCCACGTTTTTCACCCCCAACGGACTGAATTACGGCAGCAAAGTTTTCCACTACGTCCTGGGGAATCTGCACACACACCTCATTCACTTTAAAGTAGACTTGGACATTGCAGGTGAGAAACACACGTCTCTTATGGAAGTCTGAGTTCAGGTCTTTCAGTATCTCTCAGTAAAGCGTCCATGTCACTTTTGAGGCAATACACACACACACACAATCATATAATAATGAACTACAAACTAATGTCAAGGTACAAAAGAAAGACGCCAAAGCCAAAGCTAATTCAAGGTTTGTGAGAGGTTAAGCCTTCAACAAAGAGACAAAAACAACAAATCCGTCACAGAGACTAAGACTAACAATGAAGTTACTGTTATCATCTAGACCGATGACTTTTGCCCTTTTCCCTCCGTCATAAAGAGTCATAAACCATAAACAAACTGAATGTTTAACTAATTACCTTGCAAAAACAGCAGATCGTTTATTATTAATATTTATCACGGCACAGGGGGAAACAGGAGAGAGGGCCTTGTGGGTAGTCCCTCAGTGGGGCGGCTGTGGCTGCAAAGTAGCAAACTGTGGTTGTGTCCTTAGGCAAGAAACTTTCCCCCACATTAGAATGAGTCTGGTGTGTGTGTGAATGGTTGGTAGTGGTGGGAGGGGCTGATGCCACATATCGGTTGCCCTGCTTCTGTCAGTGTGCCCCAAGGCAGCTGTGGCTACAGTAGAAGTTTATCACAACCGGCTGTGACGAGACTTTGAGCATCCAGAAAAGAACTGTGTAAAACCACAACAGTAATATTATCATTATCATTATTATTATTATTATTGAACTGACTCTTGCCACTAGTTTTTATGTGGTGATGATTCAGAATCCTTTTATTACCATGTGAGTAACAAGAAGTCACAAACTAGGAAATTGCTTTGGCTCTCGGGGAAAACAAGTTAAAGCAGAAAAACATCAAGAAGGCATGCATTAATAAACATCTACCCTAACATTTAACCACATTTATGGACTTTATCAACAATTATGGACATTTGTCATCCGTCCCTTATAGACCAATGGCTCTATGTGTGCTTTTTATCATTGCGTTTCTTGTGTCTTGGCGAATCAGCTTTGTAAAGTCCTCTGTGATAACTACTGTTGTGATTTAAGGCAATTTAAATTCAAAAACACGCTGAATTGAATAATGTTCTTATGTTTGTGCAGGTCGGGAAAACAACTTTGAGACAATTGACCTAAAATACGTCAACTTCACAAACCCTTGGAGCCAAAAGCACTTTGTCGTTCAGTCCAAACTGCACCGGGTCGAGCACAAGACGGAGAGATCTGCCGCCTTTCGCTTCGGCAAAAAGTTTCCGCGATACACACACTTTTACAACCCGAGCGAGCTGAACAAGTGGGGCCACCACAAAGGCTACCGCATCCAGCTCAACTCACACGGCCACTCTGTGCTGCCCCGAGGATGGAGGGAGGAGGTCGGCATCAGCTGGGCCAGGTCAGCGACTCTACCACACATGGAGCTTTGGGGATAAACATAGACGACATCTAAACTCATGGTCAAGAAAAGTCATTCGGTCAAAAACTAAGACAAAGAGATCATGACCCTAACAGGAAAGTCCAGTTGAGATTAAGAACCTCTTTTTTGTGGGGAAATGTCAGTGTTGCATCACCAGTTTCAGTAGGAATGAGGACCTAGGACAAGATAAGTGACCAATAACTCTATACTAAAATCTTTAGCTTTAGCATAATAGAGAAGCAAGTCTTAAACCTCCAATTTTAGCATAATAATGAAGAAGAATTAAGTATAAAATCTCTATCTCTAGCAAGTACAAAATCCTGTATATTCTAGAAGCATAAATATGTTACCAGCATGAGGCTCTGGAATAAAGAGACATTCTGAAATGTGATCAAGTTATTGCACAGATGCACGACATGTGAGGTCAGGTCGGCAGTGTTCGTTCGTCCGTGATCAGAGACCCGAGGGAACAGGGTCTGACTCTCCATCACAGGGCTGTAGGATGCTTTAGGTTTTTTCTGCTGACAAACCTCTCACCCGAAAACCCACTGAGTCCAGGATTTGGCTACAAGTCAAATAAGTGTAAATATCACAGTGTATCAGACCTTCCTGTGGCGCTCCTGACTCCTGCAGATGCTGTTTTGAAGGTATCCTCTGGCAGTGACTCGACACAAGGACAGTGAGAGCAGCAGCAGCAGCATCTACACTCAGAACGACCCCTGGGAGCCCACCGTGTCCTTCGAGGACTACATCCGCAACAACGAGGACATCGTCAAACAGGTCTGAGTCACACGGACAAAAACACACAGTCTGTGGGGAGTAAATATATACGTTTATATTTGATTGGCCATGAGTTTCACACTGCAGGAGAAGAAGAAAACAGTTTATTTAGAAACAGAGTAAAGCTCTAATGAGTAGATTCAGATTATTCCAGTAACCAGTGACAGATGCACAAAGGGCTGAGTGTCCTTTGTCCTGTGGGTCAGACCTGAGTATAGTTCTTATCTCTGACCACAAAACGTCATCCCAGTGTTTTCATTCTAAGGACCTGGAGCCCGATAGCCTGGTTTTACCATACCCTCGTACTTGTTTCGTACATCCCGGGAAAAAAGATTTGACCGGAGTTTACGGATGGCAAAGGCCAGGCTAGGAGCCCGAGTAACTGTGACCTGAGTTTACAGCCTCAGTCCTGCACCGCGTGGACTGGGTCCTGGATCTACAGCCTCAGTCCTGCACGCGTGGCCTCGATCCTGGGTCTACAGTCTCAGTCCTGCACCGCGTGGCCTCGGTCCTGGATCTACAGTCTCAGTCCTGCACCGCGTGGCCTCGGTCCTGGATCTACAGTCTCAGTCCTGCACCGCGTGGCCTCGGTCCTGGATCTACAGTCTCAGTCCTGCACCGCGTGGCCTCGGTCCTGGATCTACAGTCTCAGTCCTGCACCGCGTGGCCTCGGTCCTGGATCTACAGCCTCAGTCCTGCACCGCGTGGCCTCGGTCCTGGATCTACAGTCTCAGTCCTGCACCGCGTGGCCTCGGTCCTGGATCTACAGTCTCAGTCCTGCACCGCGTGGCCTCGGTCCTGGGTCTACAGTCTCAGTCCTGCACCGCGTGGCCTCGGTCCTGGGTCTACAGTCTCAGTCCTGCACCGCGTGGCCTCCGTCCTGTCTGTCCATGGGAGTGGACCCCTCTCTCAATTTGGGCCTCCTGAAGGCTTTTCTAATTTTTTTTCAAAAGTTGTTCCTCTGATGCAGGAGGGTCTAAGGACAGTTTTGATGATCTAGAAAACTCTACATTCATCAACATTTTGGTCTCTGCCCCTTAGGGACCAATGGCTCTATATGTTTTTTATTATTGCCTTTTGTGTGTTTTATTCTCTGATCTGTGTTGGTAAATTCAACGGTTTTGTAAAGTCCTCAGAGAAAACTTCTGTTGAGATTTAAGGCGTCACAAAATACATTGAAGTGAATTGAGTGTGTGACAGTGGATTTCAAATGAACTTAGTGTAGTTTTTTCTAATCCCTGACCACTTAACGTTACATGGTGTTTGCCTCCAGGACCTGGTTGCCTGGGTGACGGTGGGCTTCCTCCATGTGCCGCACTCAGAGGACATCCCGAACACAGCGACTCCGGGGAACGCTGTGGGCTTCTTCCTTCGGCCGTTCAACTTCTTTGACGAGGACCCATCGCTGTCGTCGCGCAGCACGGTGATAGTGCGTCCTGGAGCCAACCGGGCCCCTGTGGTGCAGAGGTGGACCCCTGACACCGTGGGCCGCTGTGTCACTGAGGGGCCATTCTCCTACGATGGGACGTATGAAGAAGTGTGACTCTGAGACAAAACAACTTCTGATTGGTCTGAACAAAGTGTTAATGTTACAGTAGTATAAAAACTGTCTCATTCAAGAGATCAGACTGAAATACAGAGACACAGATACACAGACACACAGACACACAGATACACACAGACACAGAGAGACAGACACACAGATACACAGACACACAGACACACAGACACACAGACACACAGACACACAGATACACACAGACACAGAGAGACAGACACACAGATACACAGAGACAAAGAGATACAGACACACAGATACAGAGAGACAAAGAGATACAGACACACAGATACACAGACACACAGACACACAGATACACACAGACACAGAGAGACAGACACACAGATACACAGACACACAGACACACAGATACACAGATACAGAGAGACGGACACACAGATACACAGATACACAGAGAGACAGACACACAGATACACAGAGACACAGAGAGACAGACACACAGATACACAGAGAGACAGATACACAGATACACAGAGACACAGAGAGACAGATACACAGATACACAGAGACACAGAGACACACAGAGATACACAGAGACACAGATACACAGACACACAGAGAGACAGATACACAGACACACAGAGAGACAGATACACAGACACACAGAGAGACAGATACACAGAGACACAGAGAGACAGACACACAGATACACAGAGACACAGAGACACAGAGACACAGAGACACAGAGAGACAGATACACAGATACACAGAGAGACAGATACACAGATACACAGAGACACAGAGACACACAGAGATACACAGAGACACAGATACACAGACACACAGAGAGACAGATACACAGACACACAGAGAGACAGATACACAGAGACACAGAGAGACAGACACACAGATACACAGAGACACAGAGACACAGAGACACAGAGACACAGAGAGACAGATACACAGATACACAGAGAGACAGATACACAGATACACAGAGACACAGAGACACACAGAGATACACAGAGACACAGATACACAGACACACAGAGAGACAGATACACAGACACACAGAGAGACAGATACACAGAGACACAGAGAGACAGAGACACAGATACACAGAGACACAGAGACACAGAGACACAGAGAGACAGACACACAGAGACACACAGAGATACACAGAGACACATATATACACAGAGACAGAGATACACAGAGATACTTCTCTAATTCAGCAATATGAAGCTATAATGTGACAGACTCAGTGCAGAGTCAGCTCACAGTAAAACCACTAATAAAACGTTTAACATTGAACAAAACATTATAACAAAGACACTGTTTCAGCTAATAATGAGATAATATTTCATTTGATGAGAATAGATTGATTCCTGAGTTCACTTTACACTGTATGAAATTATACAAAGTTTATTGGCACTTGTAATAATTAAAGTTTTTTAAAATAAAATGCAAAAATAACATGATAAAAAGCTAATGGGTCAGAGTTAGGGTTAGCATACAGAGATCAGAGTTATAGTTAGGGCAGAGGTTAGCACACAGACGTTAGCATACAGAGGTTAGCACACAGACGTTAGCATACAGAGGTTAGCACACAGACGTTAGCATACAGAGGTTAGCACACAGACGCTAGCATACAGAGGTTAGCACACAGACGCTAGCATACAGAGGTTAGCACACAGACGCTAGCATACAGAGGTTAGCACGTTAGCATACAGAGGTTAGCACACAGACGTTAGCATACAGAGGTTAGCACACAGACGCTAGCATACAGAGGTTAGCACGTTAGCATACAGAGGTTAGCACACAGACGTTAGCATACAGAGGTTAGCACACAGACGTTAGCATACAGAGGTTAGCACACAGACGCTAGCATACAGAGGTTAGCACACAGACGCTAGCATACAGAGGTTAGCACACAGACGCTAGCATACAGAGGTTAGCACACAGACGTTAGCATACAGAGGTTAGCACACAGACGCTAGCATACAGAGGTTAGCACACAGACGCTAGCATACAGAGGTTAGCACACAGACGCTAGCATACAGAGGTTAGCACACAGACGCTAGCATACAGAGGTTAGCACACAGACGCTAGCATACAGAGGTTAGCACACAGACGCTAGCATACAGAGGTTAGCACACAGACGTTAGCATACAGAGGTTAGCACACAGACGTTAGCATACAGAGGTTAGCACACAGACGCTAGCATACAGAGGTTAGCACACAGACGTTAGCATACAGAGGTTAGCACGTTAGCATACAGAGGTTAGCACACAGACGCTAGCATACAGAGGTTAGCACACAGACGTTAGCATACAGAGGTTAGCACACAGACGTTAGCATACAGAGGTTAGCACACAGACGTTAGCATACAGAGGTTAGCACACAGACGTTAGCATACAGAGGTTAGCACGTTAGCATACAGAGGTTAGCACACAGACGTTAGCATACAGAGGTTAGCACACAGACGCTAGCATACAGAGGTTAGCACACAGACGTTAGCATACAGAGGTTAGCACGTTAGCATACAGAGGTTAGCACACAGACGTTAGCATACAGAGGTTAGCACACAGACGCTAGCATACAGAGGTTAGCACACAGACGTTAGCATACAGAGGTTAGCACACAGACGCTAGCATACAGAGGTTAGCACGTTAGCATACAGAGGTTAGCACACAGACGCTAGCATACAGAGGTTAGCACACAGACGTTAGCATACAGAGGTTAGCACACAGACGTTAGCATACAGAGGTTAGCACACAGACGTTAGCATACAGAGGTTAGCACACAGACGCTAGCATACAGAGGTTAGCACGTTAGCATACAGAGGTTAGCACGTTAGCATACAGAGGCTAGCACGTTAGCATACAGAGGTTAGCACGTTAGCATACAGAGGCTAGCACGTTAGCATACAGAGGTTAGCACGTTAGCATACAGAGGCTAGCACGTTAGCATACAGAGGTTAGCACGTTAGCATACAGAGGCTAGCACGTTAGCATACAGAGGTTAGCACGTTAGCATACAGAGGCTAGCACGTTAGCATACAGACGTTAGCACACAGAGAATCTTAACATTAAAAAACCCTAACCACTTTGGGTTAAAAGCATGAAACTCGGCACACAGTGGAAATGGACCTGACTGACCCTAATCCAAATAATATTTACCTTTTGATTGAAGCAGCAGAGACGCAGCAAACTGAAACTAGTGAAATATCCATGAGTGAAGGAGTCAAGGTTTGAATAAATAAATTTAATTATAATTAATTATCTCAACTTTTGTCACTGGACAAAATAAAGAAATCAGGGTTATTATGAATTGTTTATTAACTCACTGGACCAAAATATCTAACTCAAGATAAGAAATAACAAGTTTTATGATTGAGTAAGAAATATAGGCTACACTCAGTTATCAGTCAGGATTATTACCAATAACACTCTAACTTAATCTGAGCCTAAACCCTCACCCTTTAGTGGAGCAGTCGTGGACCTCATATATACGATAAACACATGAACACATCGTCAAAACTGTGATTAAAACATAATAATGATGAAATTGACGGATTTTCTTTTCATGAATCTTAAGAACACTTTTATAGAGATTCAAGTAGTCTCAGGGCAGATATATATATATACCCACAAACACATATACAAATATAAACACATACACACACGTTGGTGACCATCTTGCACACAGAAAAGGATCAGTACATTTCTGTCGGCTGAATCCTCGATTGATACGTACATTTCTTGATTGTAATAAATTGTGTTGTGTTAAGTTTGACTGTGTTTGACTTTTGAAAAGCATCAGTTTGAGCCAAACAAACAGAGAGATCAGTCTGTGACCTCTGTCAGCCTCATCATGTCTCCAGGGCTGAGGCTGAGACAGAGCAAACATCCAGGATCCAGGATGCAGCGTCCGGCCCACACAGGGCTCCTGCAGCCGGGGGCCGCTGTCACGGAGATGGGGCCATAATGCAACAGAGAGATCCAAAGGCATTCCTCTCATAGCATCCAGGAGCCGGGGATACCACACTGAGCAGGGACCAAACAGGGACCAAACAGGGACCAAACAGGGACCAAACAGGGACCAAACAGGGACCAAACAGGGACCAAACAGGGACCAAACAGGGACCAAACAGGGACCAAACAGGGACCAAACAGGGACCAAACAGGGACCGAGCTATTATACCAGACACTGAGCAGTTATCAAGCTGTTACCGAGGGTTCACTAATTAGCTGTTAATTGATCTCCTCCACCTCAACACATACTGTAGAGCCATTGGTCCATAAGGGGCAGAGGACCACTGTATATAAATGTTTATGAATGTCCATAAAGGCCCAGGCAAAATCACATGTATGCTTTTGCCTGTGACTCTCTCTGCTGATCCATGACACGGCCTGGGAGAGACCAAGAGATGTGTGGGAGAGACCAAGAGATCTATGGGAGAGACCAAGAGATCTATGGGAGAGACCAAGAGATGTGTGGGAGAGACCAAGAGATGTGTGGGAGAGACCAAGAGATGTGTGGGAGAGACCAAGAGATGTGTGGGAGAGACCAAGAGATCTATGGGAGAGACCAAGAGATCTATGGGAGAGACCAAGAGATGTGTGGGAGAGACCAAGAGATGTGTGGGTGTGTGGGAGAGACCAAGAGATCTCTGAGTCTGTGTCTTTAAAATGACCAAATGAGGACTTCTCTCACCCCTGGTTGGGAAACACTTAGGCCACTTTCAAGAATGAATCCTGAACCATGTCCTCCACCTGCTCCACCATCTCCCCATAGTCTGCCTCACACCCGCTCTGGCCTGGCTCTCTCTCCTGCTGCAGACACGTGACCAGGTCCCTGTGCATCGGCGGCTCTTTGGCCACTCGCTCCAGCCGCTGCAGCTGCTCCTGGGGGTCTTCTGGAACACTCTGCACCCCCAGGGCCTGGAGCACGGCGGGAGCGAACTTCCCGTAGTGCGCCGTGGAGCAGATGACCAGCGGGCAGTCGCCATCGTGCAGCCGGTCCCCCACAGACTTGGCCGCCGCGGTGTGAGTGTCCAGTAAGTATCCGGTCTGATCGAACACAGAGCGGATGGTGGACAGACACTGGCTTTCAGAGCAGCTCCCGGACCACACCTGTATAAGTATTTATGTGTGTCAGAACTTCAGGTCAGGTCTGCTCTGCAAAAAGTGATGGAAAATAAGTAAAAGATTGCTCAAATTTGGCAAAATGTATCTTAATTTGAGCACATTCTGACTGAGCCTTGAGCCACTGAGCCACAAGATTTGCCAATGGGACAAAAAATGATCTTGTTTTAAAAAGAAACAAGAAAAATCTCCCTTGCAATGAGAACATAAAGCAACAGTTTTTAATAATAAGACTAAATGTCTTTGTCCCATTAAGAATCTTGTTTTAAGAGCAATTATTACCGTGTATTTTATCCTTATTTGCAGTGTGAGAGCTCAATACAGAAGGTTTCAAATAAGGAACGCACATCTCTGTAGTCTGGACTAGCGAGCTGGAATCAAAAAGGGCAAAACAGTGAAAAGAATCCGTACAGCTAAGTGGCTCCCAATTAGTGTTTTTTATTTACAGTCCACGTAGTAGTGTCGTGTCAGGCTGAGGTCCTTCATCAGCCCTTGATCAGCCCAAGGAAGGGCTGAAGAAGGGCTGAAGAAGGGCTAATGTAAATAAAAGACACTTATTGGGAGCAACATAGCTCTGTGGATTTTTGTCACTGTTTTCAGCTAAATACAGATCCTAGAGTAGAGTAAGAGAGAGTGGAGGAGAGGACTCAATGTCACAGCTGTAATAGATTTTTATATGTTCTAATGTCTTTGTTTATAAGGAATTACACTCCAGCCACCAGGGGGCAGTAGCCTAAAAATCACCATTCATAAAATTAGACGGACAAAGGCAGAAGTCTACAGTTATTAATAAGTAGGAAATAAAAGAACCTTCTAAGCCTTAAACATAAAACAAGGCACTTTTGACATTAATGGTTTCATCACCTGTTCTCGAATCGTGGCGAGGAGTTCTGGCGTCACGCTGAAGTGTTGTCGTGCGTCTAGAGAAGCGAACAGCTCTGCGACAAGATGGCCGTCTCCGTCCGAGGCGTGGTGGAGGAGTCTCTCCAGGTTGGAGGATCTGAGGATGTCGATGGCGGGGGAGGCCGAGGGCAGGAGCGGCCGTCCCTGGAGGCTGTAGGTTCCCGTGGACAGGAAGTCGGGGATGATGCGGTTGTGGTTGGAGGCACAGATGACTCTCCGGAGCGGGAGGCCCATGCTCTTGGCGTACAGCGCGGACATGGCGCTCCCAAAGTTTCCGGTGGGGATGCAGACGTCTGCGGGATCGCCGAAACTTATGACGCCGCAACGACAGAGGTCCAGATAAGAGGAGGCGTGGTAGACGACCTGCAGAGAGGACACAGAGAGGACACAGAGGACACAGAGAGGACACAGAGGACACAGAGGACACAGAGAGGACACAGAGAGGACAAAGAGAGGACACAGAGAGGACAAAGAGGACACAGAGAGGACACAGAGAGGACAAAGAGGACACAGAGAGGACACAGAGGACACAGACAGGACACAGAGAGGACACAGAGGACACAGACAGGACACAGAGAGGACACAGAGGACACAGAGAGGACACAGAGAGGACACAGAGGACACAGAGAGGACACAGAGAGGACACAGAGAGGACACAGAGGACACAGAGAGGACACAGAGGACACAGAGAGGACACAGAGAGGACACAGAGGACACAGAGAGGACACAGAGGACACAGAGAGGACACAGAGAGGACACAGAGAGGACACAGAGAGGACACAGAGGACACAGAGAGGACACAGAGGACACAGAGAGGACACAGAGGACACAGAGAGGACACAGAGGACACAGAGAGGACACAGAGAGGACACAGAGAGGACACAGAGGACACAGAGAGGACACAGAGGACACAGAGAGGACACAGAGAGGACACAGAGGACACAGAGAGGACACAGAGAGGACACAGAGGACACAGAGAGGACACAGAGGACACAGAGAGGACACAGAGGACACAGAGAGGACACAGAGAGGACACAGAGAGGACACAGAGGACACAGAGAGGACACAGAGGACACAGAGAGGACACAGAGGACACAGAGAGGACACAGAGAGGACACAGAGAGGACACAGAGGACACAGAGAGGACACAGAGGACACAGAGAGGACACAGAGAGGACACAGAGGACACAGAGAGGACACAGAGAGGACACAGAGGACACAGAGAGGACACAGAGGACACAGAGAGGACACAGAGAGGACACAGAGAGGACACAGAGGACACAGAGAGGACACAGAGGACACAGAGAGGACACAGAGGACACAGAGAGGACCAGTGTTGGGCACGTTACTTTGAAAAAGTAATTAGTTATAGTTATTAGTTACTTCTCCCAAAAAGTAACTGAGTTACTAACGGAGTTACTCCACTATAAAAGTAACTAGTTACCAGTAAAAGTAACTATTGCGTTACTTTTTCGTTTTGTTCTGGAACATAATGTGCACCCGACGTGCGCATTTTTACCTTTAACAGTGCCAATATTTCCATCTAGAAAAGGCTGTTTTGCTGCTGAAGTCCTGTTCACTCTTCATCTCTCTCTGTGCTGTAAAGCCCGCCACTGTGAATGTGGAAACACCGGTGACGAGCGGTGAGGCTGGTGAAGCACTGACTTCAGTCCAATCAGATGAACATATACATCATATAAATCAAGTGGACAATTTGTTTGGCTACAGCAAAACATGTTTTATGCCTGCATTGTTTGTTCATACAAAACGCAAAACTATGAGTTATGGGTCTTACCTTATAGCTATACCTTATAAATGACCTGCACAGTCCACTTCGGTTCAGACCAGTTCCTTGTTTAAATCCAGTTAATGGTTTGAGCGTAGATATGTAATCCTCCATTTGGAAATGAGTCCAATGAGTTTTAAAAAGTAAAACAAAACGCGTGTGTCCTCCATAAACTCCTGTGTTTTGCGAGCGGCAGCCGAGTGCATCCAATTTCTAAAATCAACCGTCTAACACTTCACCTCTCTTTCTTATCATTCCTATAGTCATTGAAAAATTACCCTATGTGCATTTTCGATTATGTAAAAATTTGTTATATGTACAGTATGTTAGCCAAACCTGTTGCTGTCCTTAGCAGATAAACCAGGAAGAGCAAGGAGCTTATTGATGGAATTGTATGCAGCCTTCTGCGCTCACATGCGCTCCTCTGAGGCCTCACGGTGATACAAGCCGTGGTTGAGCGCGATTAAGACCCATATTTGTTTCAAAAACACAATTTATGAGCCATCCTCTCAACTGTAGACATGTGGATTGTAAAGGAAATATGATTTACATCAGCCAATAATTGCTGAGAGGTTTTCTCATCCTCCCTTCTCTCATGACAACACGTTCATTGTGCGTCTTGAGTAACGCGCAGTGACGGGATGTCGGAAATGATAACGGCGTTATAGTTACTGTCAAAGTAATTAGTTAGATTACTCGTTACTGAACACACAGAGGACACAGAGAGGACACAGAGGACACAGAGAGGACACAGAGAGGACACAGAGGACACAGAGAGGACACAGAGAGGACACAGAGGACACAGAGAGGACACAGAGGACACAGAGAGGACACAGAGAGGACACAGAGGACACAGAGAGTCCATGTAAGGTTGAAAAAGTATGAAAAGTAAGCAGAGACGCCCAGACTTCCCTATCCACACACACTTCCTCCAGCCCGTCCGGGGGGACCCCAAGGCGTTCCCAGGCCAGCTGAGAGACATAGTCCCTCCAGTGTGTCCTGGGTCTTCCCCGGGGCCTCCTCCCGGTGGGACGTGCCCAGAACACCTCCCTAGGGAGGCATCCGGAACAGATGCCCGAGCCACCTCAACTGGTTCCTCTCGACGTGGAGTAGCAGCGGCTCTACTCCGAGCTCCTCCCGTGTGACTGAGCTCCTCACCCTATCTCTAAAGCCTAGCGTACATCGACAGAGAAACTGGGGACAACTAGTTGCAAGGCGGCTTTTGGCAACTGAGAGGAGATGGTGGGAAATGATCAGTTGCCGAAATCGGTCAATGTGAGCGCTCTTACAACTGGAGATGATCAGTCGGTCTCCAGTTTCAGTCAGTTGCCCGTGTTCTACTTTTCGGCAACTAGTTGTCCTCAGTTTCGGAGATATGACCCGATGTGCGCGCTCCATGCGCCGCTCCGACAACGTGTGTGTATTGCGTGTATTGCGAGCCCGCAACAGTTTATGTCAGAAATCACACTGTAGTTGACGGACAGTTGCTGTCGATGTACGCGCTGTTATTCCCGAGACTGGCCTGCCACTGGGAGTTGCCCGTTTTCGTCAGATTGTCGATGTGTGCGGGGCAGCAACTCATATGCGACGGATATAATCAGTTGCCAGTCCGATGTACGCTAGGCTTAAGGGAGCAGCCACTCTGCGGAGGAAGTTCATTTCGACCGCTTGTATCCGCGATCTCGTTCTTTCGGTCATTACCCAAAGCTCATGACCATAGGTGAGGGAGGGAACGAAGATTGACCGGTAAATCGAAAGCTTTGCCTTTCGGCTCAGCTCCCTCTCAATAATCAATGAGTTGCAATTAATTAATTAACTGAGTTTGGGTTAACCCTGGTTTATCCTTTATTTCCAAGGCCTTTTTGTGAATGTGGTGATTTCAAAAGACTCTTCCTCTGGCCACTGACCCTAACTTTAACCCTAACTCTGACTCTAACCCTAACCCTAGCCCTCTAACCCGAACGCTAACCCTATCTCTAACTCTGACTCTAACTCTGACTCTAACCCACCTGTGGCAGAAGCCGAGCCCAGTTGATGGAGTTGGCGGTGCTGAGGAGCGTCCCGTACTCTACAGCCAGATGCCCCGTCAGCTCCGGCGTCCTGAACATCTGCTTGATGCTCCTCTGGCAGAAATCAAAGTCTGATTTCACACTGACGGCCCTCACGTTCCCCTCCCACTCCGCCGTCATCTGTCTCCTCTGGATCTCGCTCACTCCGTCTCTGGGGAAAAACACTAACACCCCGGTCTTGTGCTGATGCACCTCCTGCAGCGCGTTGAACCCACTGAGCACCGCGCTGCCCGTGTCTCCGGAGGTGGCCACCAGGATAAGGAAGTTGCACATGGGCGGGAGGCAGTGGGCGAACATCTGAGGCATGAGCTGCAGCGCCAGGTCTTTGAAGGAGGCCGTGGGACCGTGGAACAGCTCCTGGACGTACAGATGGTCCACCAGGTGCCTCACGGGCGCCACCTCGTCACTGGTGAAGGTCGAGCCGTACGCTTTGGTCACCATCGCTTTCAAATCCAGCGCCGAGACATTGCTTGGGTGGACGCACTTCTCCAGCAGCACCTGCAATGGAAACATGCATGAGTGAGTGCTGGACAGACAGAGAGACAGACAGAGAGACAGGCAGACAGACAGACAGAGACAGAGAGAGAGACAGACAGACAGACAGACAGAGACAGAGAGAGACAGACAGACAGATAGACAGAGAGAGAGAGACAGAGAGAGAGACAGACAGACAGACAGACAGAGACAGAGAGAGACAGACAGACAGATAGACAGAGAGAGAGACAGACAGACAGACAGACAGAGACAGAGAGAGACAGACAGACAGATAGACAGAGAGAGAGAGACAGAGAGAGAGACAGACAGACAGACAGACAGAGACAGAGAGAGACAGACAGACAGATAGACAGAGAGAGAGAGACAGAGAGAGAGACAGACAGACAGACAGACAGAGACAGAGAGAGACAGACAGACAGATAGACAGAGAGAGAGAGACAGACAGACAGATAGACAGAGAGAGACAGGCAGGCAGGCAGACAGACAGACATAGAGACAGAGAAAGACAGAGACAGAGAGAGACAGACAGACAGACAGACAGACAGACAATGCATTAATGAGTAAAAACACTATTGTATCAAATCCATTGGTAACATTCAAACTAAGGCACTTTCTCAGTCTGGCACTGGTGCAGTGGTTAGCACTTTTCCCTTTTGAGTCGAGTTTGCATGTTCTCCCCAAGTTTGCGTAGGTTTCCTCCGGATGCTCCAGTTTCCACTACCACAAAGAAATTGCACAACAGGTCTGGCTCCAGTATGACGATCCTGCTCCATCTCTGTGTGGAGTGAGACAAATGCCCACAACAATTGCAAAGCTCTTTGTGACTCTGGTCTGTGAAAGGGGCTGTATAAATAAAGATTACTTACTTTCTGGCCAGAAGCAAAATTCTCTTTTGGTTCATCTGAATTATATGTTAATTACAGGTGTCTGCCTATTGAATGTTGTCTCTCTCCCTTCATCCAGTTAAACGTTCTGCTCTCTCTCTCCTCCTTTTACCTAAATTAGAGAAAACTTAACGTGAACGGGCCAGAGAGACATGTTTAGCGTTTATAATGTGTCCGTCTGACTCTGAGGAGTATAGCGTATCGTTTATTCTTCTTTTCCTTTTAATGAATTGCGTAAAAGACGAACTGTTCCCCTCAGATACTTATTGAAGTATAAAGTGTCCATTACCCACCGAAGCGCGCTCTTGGTACGGCATTTGCACCAGCCGCACCCACTCGTTGGCTTCCATTTTGGGGAATCCGTGTCTGGGCACGTAGAGGCCGCCGTCTTTGGCCAAACCGTCAACCACAGCGTCGCTGAAATGCACGCTCTTGGACACGTCCTGGTTCCGTGTTGATATAAAAGTCTCTTCGTTGTCGTACCGCTCCAGAGCAGATAAAACTTTGTCTGCGACTTCTATGACCGTATCGCCTTTACCGCACAACACTCGAATGTCAAACCATTTCTCGTAACACTGTTTTCGATACTGCAGGATGTCTGTCATTGGGACCCCTGCCTCCTGACCCACGATGCGGTTCACCTTCATCCTGGAGAGTCTGTGCATAATGTCTTCCACGTCCACATCTAAGTAAACCACGACCCCAGTCTGCTTCACGTGCTTCATTGCCAGATTGTCCAGCGGGTTGGAACCAGTGAGAGAAACGACACACCCAGACGCAGAGAGATTGCACAAAGCTTTACCCTCTTCTTCCAGAAAGCTCTGAGCACCGACGGAGGCGAGTTTAGAAGCGACAGGCATCTTCCAGGTTGGCTCCAGAACGTCATCGTCGATGTCAACGGCAGGAAGTCCGAGTTTATGAGCGAGGATTCTGCCCACGGTGGTCTTCCCTGCTCCTGGAGGACCCATGAGGAGGATGTTTCTGTCTCTGTGAGGGGTGTAGGTGGAGAGGTGTGGTCTGTTGATTCTCAGAGCGGAGAGACCGAGGCGTCGAAATGCACAGCGCAACATGGTGCAGGAAGTTCTCCTGGAAACAGAGTTTAAATAGAATTATAACCATGTTATTGAGATCAGTCAATATTCACGTGTAAAGCACTTTTAAAAACAGCTTAGGCTTATCAAAGTGCTGCACAGAAAAGTGAGAACAGCAACAATAAAATTAAAAACACATACAAATACAAACAATATGAGTGTATACAAATAAAAACGCTGGTGTTAAAAGAGAAAAGGTGCGTCTTAAGCAGTGTTAAAGTACTCGAGTGAGGAGCTCTAATGTGCAAAGGTAAACCAAAGGTAAAGGTAAACAGCTGTGGTGGATAATGAATAATATAAAATAATATATTTTGAGAGGAAAACCAATAACAGCTTAATTTGAAGTAGTGTTGATACTGGTGTAAAAAAATGTTTTGTGACCAGCATGTTGGACTGACTCCAGGAAGAATAAATGTACTTGTTACAACTAATGGAGATCAAATAAATACAAATACAAATACTAAATCGAGTTTGATAGAAGAAAATTATTTTTAATGACTATGAATAAAAATATCTGTTTATTATCCTCCATTAATAATCCATCCATCCATCCATCTTCTTCCCCTTAATCCATTTCTGGGTCGGGGGGGTGGCAGTCAGAGCTGCACCCAGTCACAGAGCACCAGCCCCTCACTGATCCTCCTGCAGGTGGTGAGTCCACAGGAGCTGATTAAGTGTCTTGCCCAAGGACACAACGACAGTAGTCATCAGTGGGAGTCGTGAAGTAGGTCTTACGGTGGGATCGAAACCACAACCTTGAGGCTCTAAGGCCAATGCTCTACCAACTGAGCTACTGTCGCCCCCCCATTAATAATAATAATTAATAATAAACTAAAAGCTACATGATGCATTCGAGCGTAACCAACAGTCAAAACACACACGTGCTATAAACACGTGTTAGTTTCACTATTTTATTTTAACTGAAGAGTTAACTCACTGTGAAGAAGTCACTTCACCTGAAAAAGTGATTCTCTTTGAAAGTTACAGAAAAAATAACAACTCTTCTTCAAATCTGTGCGACTGCAGCAGCAGCACGTGAGCAAGAATGTAAACAACTACGGAACGCGCGAAGGGACAAAAGTGTCGCATGCGCCAATTCTATCCAAACTACAGTCTATGATCCAAACCAATCTACTTTATTACAAAGCACAGTTTATCAAGTGTAAGTTTCCAAAACACTGCGCAGAGATAAGAGTAACTTGATTTGAATATACAAGTCTGTATACAAGCTCTGTGTATATACAATTAGAGACAAATAAAACATTCTATCAGTATAAAGAGTGACAATCCACGATACAAAGTCGTATACATACAACATTGACATAAAATAGTAAATATATCGGTTATTCTAAGCATACACAATGCGGTCATGCATTTGATTGTATTGTGTGGTTTATTACATATGAATATTAAAAAAGTTAAAGTACACGCATGTGTATATCCAGTCTCATTCGGTAAATTAGGCAAGGCAAGGCAAGGCAAGTTTATTTGTAAAGCACAATTCATACACAAGGCAACTCAAAGTGCTAAATAAGAAAGTATTAAAATCATAAATAATCACAGTACATTAAAAAGAATGATAAAAATATAAAATCCCTCATTTGTAGCACAGCTAAACAGAACTGTCTTTAACCTGGTTTTAAACATTGTCAGAGAGGAGGCCTGTATTGTAAATTATAAATTAAATGTATATATCGTAATTTCTTTGTTATTTCTCTCTTTATTTTATGACACATCTGGTCAGAAAGTTCTTCTTTACGACAGTCCGCAAACCTCTCACCGTTGCTAGGTAACAGACAAACAAATCCCCAGAGGCTTTTGTCCGCGCGGTCAAATAAACACAAATTTCTTCATTTTTAATCTGCTTTTCTGCTGCTTCAACATGTCCACACAGGCGTACCCGCCCCAGGAGAGTGTCTACGACCTGTTACCCCAGGAGCAGGTCACGTTTGAGAAACTACGGTACTTTGTTAGTTCAGAAAGTTCAGGTTAATATGCTAATGAGGCTAGCTGGCTAATTGAGAATTCTAAAAACTGGTCACAATATGAAAAAATGTGACACTAAATTATATGAATAATTCAGAATAAAAACATGGTAAGTCTTTGTGGTTTTTCATGCAGCGTTATGTATTTATTGACATTTATTAAAATCATTCTGTTAACATAAAGGCTTGGATTTCATGTATGTGATCGTATACAAAGGAAAGACGAGAGCTCGATTAACCTGTGCTTTGTTATACCCATGTAATAATACTAAATTAAATGCAAAGTACATGTAACATATGTGTGGGATTAGTGGGACAGACATTTAAGTACTTTTTCATGATGCAGTATTGCTTTCTCCTCAGATATGTGTCCAAGTTCAGGCCCGCTGTGGTTCAGGAGGAGAAGCTTCCCAGGCGGCCCATGAGGACGATGGGCCCGGCCAAAGTGGAGGTGCCCTCACCCGAGAAGTTCCTCAAGAAACATTCCAAAGAGCCTAAAGTGTCAGACAGTGCGTATCTCTTCATATCACTGAAAAACATTAGTGTATCCTCTGGAAAATGAAAGGTATTTAGTTTTTTCTTTTAAAACCCCACATTACTGTTAGCTAACAAAGAGACTGTAAGAGAGACTTTTGCCTCTGTAAACCCTGACAAGTAAAGTTTACTTGAAAAAACCATGGAAATAAATTGCGTATTAACTTCACTTGAATTCCTCAAGTACATCCTTTACTTGATATTACCAAGTAACCCAAGTGATTGCAATAAAGTTTAAATTTCTGCTTGTGCTCTGACCGGGATTCAAACTCAGAACCCTGTAGTTGAGAGGTAATGGTGCTACCCACTCAGCCACCAAGCCACTCTGCCATTGTCACACCTTCCTCATTAAAGACTCTACACGTCAAAATGTCAAAAGTGAGGCTTACTTGAACAGAAACAGTTCAATTCAAAGAAAACCCTGAGTGACATAGGCAAGCTTTAAATAAACTAACAATAAATGAGTAATATTTACTTACTGGGAAATATCTATTTAAAATAACTTTGATATCTGAAGTACAATTGAAGTTAGGGTTTACAGTGTGAGTGGATCTATAGATGAGGCCTGTTCTCACTCTTTCAAACTCCACCGAAGGCCAGAGCAGGTCTGCTGGGTCCAGAGGTAAAGGGGCTACGCAGTAGGACTGCAGTTAAATCAGGTTACTCAGATTACTACATCATTAATGCTTTGCCTTTTACCAGGCTTTGCTAGTGACTAACTACACGAAGGTCATAGGGTCTACTCCCATCAGGCCAGTATCCGGCCAGGCTAATGTGATTGGAACCTGTCTGAGACCAGGAATCACACCCACAGTGGACCAACTCAGGGCATTTTGGATATTTATACACATACAGGTCCTATCTGGTCCGGACAGTCTAGATTTTGTCTAGACCCAGATACAGTCTTGGTCCAGACTCGGTTCTATCGTAGGGCAGACTTGATTCATAGGCAGTCAAGACACTGTTCCAGTTTGGATCTAGGCTTGGTCCTTTTCCAAACCTGGTTCAGTCCTGGTAGACCCAGTTTCTACCAGGTTTATTAATGATTCTGGTCCAGACCCAGTTTCATCCTGGTCAGACCTGGTTTTCTGTATCAAGGGCTTAAGTTTTCGGGCAGTAATAGTGACTTCTTTAGTTCATCTATAAATGACTGACACTAGTGGTAACAGTGGAAATCTGCTCTCATCTTTTCAACTCAGTTACAATAGTTTATCGGCTTCACTCACACAGAGCCCCAGAGTGCGAAAGAAGGCCGCATCCATCCGCTGCAGAAGCCCCCGGTTCCCACCAGAGCAGAGATCTCCCAGATGGCCGTCCACCCCAAACAAGACAAAGACTCCACAAAGACTTTCACATGTACAACGACAAAACCAAAACCCATCAGCGTTGACGGCCACAAGGGGCACAGGGAGGAGCTGGAGAACTCTGGACTGGTCCCTAAATACATCAAGAAGAAGGTGACTCTTTCTGTTGGGACAAACCACATCATTTATGAAACAAAAAAGATTAATTTTGATTATTCTTTCTGCAGGATTTTGGTAAAGTCCCGGTGTATCTCCTACGACATAATGCAGAGAAGCAGAAAGCTCAGGAGGAGTATGACAACTACGTGAAGGAGCAGAGGGAGAAGCAGGCCATGAAGCAGCTGTCTGAGGAGGAGCGGCTGGACATCCTGGAGGTCTGCACTGTCACAGATGGCTTTATACAAACCCCATTTCAGTGTCTGTTAAAAGGCAGAGCTAAAGACATACATTTTTAGATAAATATTCATATCTTTAACCATAATTCAGTGGTTACAAACATGCAGCCTGTGAAAGGTACTGTGTCGCCCCCTAGTGGACATCAAACTTTAACGTCAGTGCGGCCTCCACTGTGAGTCTGTGCGAATATGTTATACATCTTTGTGAAGGTAATTTTATCACGAAGACAATCACAGCATTTATTTTGACATAAACAATGAGCCCTGAATTAAATTAGCAATTATTCAAAGTAAACTTTATCAAGCCAAGTCAATACAAAGCCTCATTGTTTTGTTTCCATCACAGCAGCTGATCTCATTCTGTTCTGGTCCAAACTCCTTCATGATAAAAAGTTACTGAACAAAACTTTCCACAAACGTTTGATTCTTGGTTTTCCTGTTTCGAGCCCAAACTTTACTTCCTCTAATGTTAAAGACTGAGAAGATGCACAAATGTTTGAAATCCAGACTAAAAGTAAAATCGCATGTACATTTTTAGTGTTTGATTCTATCTCTGCGTCACTTTAGATCTGTTTTTGATATGTCTTTGTCATGTTTGTGTTGTAACTGTCCTTCAGGGTTTGAAGCAGAGCTGGAGCCGGGTCCACCACGAGTACCAGGGCATGCCGCTGATCATCGAGACCATCTCCAAACGGGCCCACAAGGAGCGCCTGGAGGCCGACATGAAACGCCTGGAGAAGGACATCGAGAAGTTTGAGAGATTCAAAATCATCTACATCGCAGACAACTGAGACTGAAAATAAAGTCAAATCTCACAGGTTCAAAGAGACGTGTGTTTTAGAGTCACAGAAAGCAGTTGGTTTACTGGTCCCACAGCGGGAAATGTCAGTGTTGCATCAGCAGTTACAGAACAGGAATGAGGAGCACGAGATGAAGCTGTAATCCAATCCACTTTATTTATATGGCACATTTTATAAAAGACGTTTCCAAAGTGCTGCACAGAGACAAAAGTGACACATTTAAATGCACGGGTTTATAAGTATCAAAAATAGAATATTTAAAACAATTATGTGTGTACAGTAAAACAATAACAATTGAATAAAAACATTAAAATAACAGTTATTCAATTCAATAAGAACGAGGGGTCTGTAATTCTACTAAAAAAATCTAATAAAGAAGCAAGTATAACATCTGTTACTTTAACATAATAAACATTGAGTTAAACTTAATATTCATAATGACAGAGACAGTACGAGCCTCAGGTCTCAGTCTCCTTTATGGAAACACTGGAGTAGAGACAGTATGGGCCTCAGGTCTCAGTCTCCTTTATGGAAACACTGGAGTAGAGACAGTACGGGCCTCAGGTCTCAGTCTCCTTTATGGAAACACTGGAGTAGAGACAGTACGGGCCTCAGGTCTCAGTCTCCTTTATGGAAACACTGGAGTAGAGACAGTACGGGCCTCAGGTCTCAGTCTCCTTTATGGAAACACTGGAGTAGAGACAGTACGGGCCTCAGGTCTCAGTCTCCTTTATGGAAACACTGGAGTAGAGACAGTACGGGCCTCAGGTCTCAGTCTCCTTTATGGAAACACTGGAGTAGAGACAGTACGGGCCTCAGGTCTCAGTCTCCTTTATGGAAACACTGGAGTAGAGACAGTACGGGCCTCAGGTCTCAGTCTCCTTTATGGAAACACTGGAGAAGAGACAGTACGGGCCTCAGGTCTCAGTCTCCTTTATGGAAACACTGGAGAAGAGACAGTACAAGCCTCAGGTCTCAGTCTCCTTTATGGAAACACTGGAGTAGAGACAGTACGGGCCTCAGGTCTCAGTCTCCTTTATGGAAACACTGGAGTAGAGACAGTACGGGCCTCAGGTCTCAGTCTCCTTTATGGAAACACTGGAGTAGAGACAGTACGGGCCTCAGGTCTCAGTCTCCTTTATGGAAACACTGGGGTAGAGACAGTACGAGCCTCAGGTCTCAGTCTCCTTTATGGAAACACTGGAGTAGAGACAGTACGGGCCTCAGGTCTCAGTCTCCTTTATGGAAACACTGGAGTAGAGACAGTACGAGCCTCAGGTCTCAGTCTCCTTTATGGAAACACTGGAGTAGAGACAGTACGGGCCTCAGGTCTCAGTCTCCTTTATGGAAACACTGGAGAAGAGACAGTACGGGCCTCAGGTCTCAGTCTCCTTTATGGAAACACTGGAGTAGAGACAGTACGGGCCTCAGGTCTCAGTCTCCTTTATGGAAACACTGGGGTAGAGACAGTACGGGCCTCAGGTCTCAATCTCCTTTATGGAAACACTGGAGTAGAGACAGTACGGGCCTCAGGTCTCAGTCTCCTTTATGGAAACACTGGAGTAGAGACAGTACGAGCCTCAGGTCTCAGTCTCCTTTATGGAAACACTGGAGTAGAGGTTTGTCTGTGTGGCTTTTTATGTAAATATTGTCTTTTGGCGTCGGTCTGTGATTTTTGTGTGGACCTAGAGTCATGAAAATGGGTCTGACTGTGAGGAGTGAAGGACGCTGAGGTCTGGGCCTCGCTTCTGTTCCGTGTGTCGAGAGAATCAGAATCTCTACAACATTGGGAAGTGGTTTGTGTGACCTCGGTCTGTGAATATAAATAAAGATCACTCACTACTTTACTAAAAGTCTATGGTTTGGTTTAGTTTATTCAGATCAGCTTTAGCCACTGAGGGTTAGTCTGGGTTAGAGTTAGTCTGGGTTAGGGTTAGCCTGGGTTAGGATTAGCTTGGGTTAGGGTTAGTCTGGGTTAGGTTTAGCCTGGGTTAGGGTTAGCCTGCGTTAGGGTTAGTCCGGGTTAGGGTTAGTCCGGGTTAGGGTTAGTCTGGGTTAGGGTTAGTCTTGGTTAGGGTCTTCTCTTTCTGGAGTCTCCTCGAAATCATTACATTCTCTTATACATCATTTTACATTCAATTGATTTAAGACACACATACATCCTCACACACACACACACACACACACACACACACACACACACACACACACACACACATGTGCTAAGACACACACACACACATACATCTTCTCTCACTCTCCCATACACACACACACATTCTCTCTCACGCACATGCGCAAACACTTACACACACACACACATACATACATCCTCTCTCACACACACGCACACATGCGCACACACACACACACACACAGACACACACTCAAAGTTCGAATGGGAAACATCTACAAACCAATCGTAGCAAAGTGCTTGAGAAAGACACAGATAAATGACATAAAACAACAGCCTGTGAATAATTCTAAATCATTAAAGATCACTGAGTACTGACTGAGAGTCTGTGGAGTGAACAGGAATGACTGCTACAACAACACTACAAAGATCTAAAACATAGATTACTAACCCTCATATCTGGACACAGACACAAGTTTTAAGCCCAAATTGGTGAATGTGAACTGAGTCTACAGCAAAAGCCACAGAAATATCATCTCCACAGAAACTCACACAGACCCTGAACAGTTGTGCAGCTTAAACTGCCTGAAGTTGTTGCTGTTTTCTTCACGTGTCTTAATGAGAAAAATCCTCTTTTTTTAACATGGACTTTAGCCTTTTCCTTCCAGCTCCCCTCCTCCACCACAGCCTGGGCTTCATCACATGAGGCTGATTATGGATAACTCAGGGTGACTGAGACGGTCCTCTGTCCCGTCCCCATGACTGCAGTCTGATCCACATGTGCTCCTCCACACTAGACCTTTACTCTCTTCTATACTAGCACTTTACTCTCCTCTATACTAGCTCTTTACTCTCTTCTATACTAGCACTTTACCCCTGTTTCTGCTACAATAACATGGAAAACAGAGGCGTGAAGAGAGGCATCGTGGTGAGTGGATTTCAGAGTTCTTTTGTCTTGTTTATTCAGTTTTCTTTGTAATTTGTAGTAACCACTAGAATAGCTCCACCAGACCAGCCCAGGCAACAGTTATGTCAGGAATGTGCTTCCAATATCTAATCCAGTTCATTTATATAGCACAGGGGTCAGGAACCTATGGCTCAGGAGCTAGATGTGGCTCTTTTGATTATTGCGTATGGCTCTCAGACAAATCTTAGTTGATATTATTAGCAATATTTTCTTATGTATTGAATTTCTGAAGAATAATAATCCCATTCAAATAAATAATACATTCCGAACCTGATGATACACTCGAAATGTGTTGATCTAGTACTAACAGAATCTCAGATATTTACAGTATATTAAATTGTATGGCTCCCACACTGCTGCACTGCGATACAGGGGACACTCAGATATTCTCTTTTTCTGAGTTCTTCCTGTTTAGAAGAAGAGGGCGGTCTGAGAGATGATGACTAATGTGGAGCCTTATGTATGCTAATGTTGATGGTAGCAACAGCCAAGCAACCAGGAGCCAATCAGGAGCCACGTCATATACTTGATTTAGCTTCTTATGGATTTGTGTTTCTTTCCGTCTTCATTTTGAGGATAAAGTTACGACTTGTTTATTGATAAAGTGAATGTAATGTGACAGATAAAGGACGAGTGGCCAGGATACAGTCTGGACCTGTTCACGTATCCAGAGCACTACCACCACGACATCGAGAACGTCTACATCCCACATGGGGTCATCATGAACAGGTACCCCCCAAAAACACCTCCATGATTGGGGTCAGGGTTGGGGTCAGGGTTCGGGTTAGGGTCAGGGTTGGGGTTGGGTTGGACTTGGGGTTGGGGTTAGGGTGGGGTTGCCCTGATATCTGCCTGCCTCTAATGTAATGTATGTAGCAGATATCTATCGACTAAAGTCAGTGAATTAAATATTAGCATTGACAAAGTTTCAGTACCGCTCGATTCTGGTCCAAGATGGAGACTCTGGGATGGTGTCTTTTGTGTCAGTTGTTTGTAAATGTTTGTCTGTAATGAAATGGAATCAAATATTCTCTTCCCACATCTGTAAGAACATCTTCTCTGTGTAGAATCGAGCGACTGGCTCACTACATCAAGGAGGACTTTGGGGACAACAACATCATGGTTCTGTGTGTTCTGAAAGGAGGCTACAAGTTCTGCTCAGACCTGGTGGAGTTCATCGAAGTCCTGGGACGAAACACCAACCGCTACTTGGAGACCCGCGTGGAGTTCATCCGCTACAAGAGCTACCTGGTACCACCGCTTTGGCTTCTTAGCAGAGTAGTAGCAGTAGTAGTAGTAGTAGTAGTAGTAGTAGTAGTAGTAGTAGTAGCAGTAGTAGCAGTAGCAGTAGTAGCAGTAGCAATAGTAGTAGCATTAGTAGTAGCATTAGTAGTAGTAGTAGTAGTAGTAGTAGTAGTAGTAGTAGTAGTAGTAGTAGTAGCAGTAGTAGCAGTAGCAATAGTAGTAGCATTAGTAGTAGCATTAGTAGTAGTAGTAGTAGTAGTAGTAGTAGTAGTAGTAGTAGTAGTAGTAGTAGCAGTAGTAGCAGTAGCAATAGTAGTAGTAGAAGTAGTAGTAGTAGTAGTAGTAGTAGTAATAGTAGTAGCAATAGTAGTAGCAGTAGTAGTAGTAGCAGTAGTAGCAGTAGCAATAGTAGTAGTAGTAGTAGTAGTAGTAGCATTAGTAGTAGTAGTAGTAGTAGTAGTAGTAGTAGTAGTAGTAGTAGTAGTAGTAGTAGTAGCAATAGTAGTAGCAGTAGTAGTAGTAATAGTAGTAGCAATAGTAGTAGCAGTAGTAGTAGTAGTAGTAGTAGTAGTAGTAGTAGCAATAGTAGTAGCAGTAGTAGTAGTAATAGTAGTAGCAATAGTAGTAGCAGTAGTAGTAGTAGTAGTAGTAGTAGTAGTAGTAGTAGTAGTAATAGTAGTAGCAATAGTAGTAGCAGTAGTAGTAGTAGCAGTAGTAGCAGTAGCAATAGTAGTAGTAGTAGTAGTAGTAGTAGCATTAGTAGTAGTAGTAGTAGTAGTAGTAGTAGTAGTAGTAGTAGTAGTAGTAGTAGTAGTAGCAATAGTAGTAGCAGTAGTAGTAGTAATAGTAGTAGCAATAGTAGTAGCAGTAGTAGTAGTAGTAGTAGTAGTAGTAGTAACAGTAGAAGTAACAGTAGTTGAAGCAGTAGGCTACTTAATTTCAAGCATATGCTAAATTGACAAACAATAAACAATATAAAAACAATAAAACATGGAACAACATCATAGAAGTCTGTCTCACATTTTCTGGAAGACTGTTCCAGATTTTACCTGCATAAATCTGAAACATCCTAACTCTCGGACCAGCAGGAGGCCAGTCCCTGTGCTCCTCAGAGTCCCAGCAGGAGCCAGTCCCTGTGCTCCTCAGAGTCCCAGCAGGAGGCCAGTCCCTGTGCTCCTCAGAGTCCCAGCAGGAGCCAGTCCCTGTGCTCCTCAGAGTCCCAGCAGGAGGCCAGTCCCTGTGCTCCTCAGAGTCCCAGCAGGAGCCAGTCCCTGTGCTCCTCAGAGTCCCAGCAGGAGGCCAGTCCCTGTGCTCCTCAGAGTCCCAGCAGGAGCCAGTCCCTGTGCTCCTCAGAGTCCCAGCAGGAGGCCAGTCCCTGTGCTCCTCAGAGTCCCAGCAGGAGGCCAGTCCCTGTGCTCCTCAGAGTCCCAGCAGGAGGCCAGTCCCTGTGCTCCTCAGAGTCCCAGCCGGAGGCCAGTCCCTGTGCTCCTCAGAGTCCCAGCAGGAGGCCAGTCCCTGTGCTCCTCAGAGTCCCAGCAGGAGGCCAGTCCCTGTGCTCCTCAGAGTCCCAGCAGGAGGCCAGTCCCTGTGCTCCTCAGAGTCCCAGCAGGAGGCCAGTCCCTGTGCTCCTGCTTGTATGAAGCCTGTGCAGAGTCCTGTGACCTGGTCCTCTCCTGCAGGTATAAACTGCAGCCTGTAGAGGGCGCTGTTGTCCCTCCTGAGCCTCCCTCTGCACAGGGGCATCTCAAGGACAACTCTCTTCAGCAGCTGCGGCTCTGAGCTCATCAAAAACACTGTCCAATAATTAAAACAAGACGGGCTCATCACACGTGACACCTGCAGAATAACTGGACCATGACGTCAGAGGAACAGTCGGAGAAACAGTGGACGCTGCGTGGCTCATTCTTTTCATGAACGATAAAGGACCACACCTCATTCTCTGGCATTAAAATCATAACTTTATTGTTTCTCTCTTCAATTGAACGTCAGAATCATGGAGGGTTTGATTAAAACGTGGTGTGTCACTGCAAAAACAGACTTCTGTGTTTTGGGGCTCTGTATAGACAGCTGCTCCATCCTTTCTAATTGAATCATTTTTATAGAGAGTAGAGTAAAGTATAAAGTATTCATGTTGAGCTCCAGACTTAGAGACAGCTGTAACTTTTGGTCTCTAATATAATAGTTCTGATCTTTTGTATTGAAATGCTTTGTTATACTTGATTAACAATGTGTAAATAATAATATTATTATATATTAGGTCAATAACTTTTAACTGTCTGCAAAAATATATCGATAGACTTTGAAAATAGTTTTACATATGTACAAATACACACACACAGAGACGCACACATACACTTAGAAACACACTTCTCAGCAAGAAGGTCCTGGGTTCGATTCCACCCCCGGACAGAGCCTCACCGAGTGGAGTTTGCATGTTCTCCCTGTGTTTCCTCCAGGTGCTGCGATCACTTCTATCACTACACCACAACCACCGTGGCGGCTGGGTGGCTGAGTGGATAGCACTCTCGCCTCTCAGGAAGAAGGTCCTGGGTTCGAATCTCGGTTGGACCAGGGCCTTTCTGAGTGGAGTTTGCATGTTCTCCCCGTGTCTGCGTAGGTTTCTTCCGGGTGCTCCGGTTTCCCCTACCACTAAAAATATGTACAATAGGTCTGGCATGTGCCTCCTGTACTGGCCCCACTCCCAAAAAAACAATTGTAAACCGCTTTGAGACTCCGATGTGCGGTGAAAAGGCGGAATATAAATAAAGATTACTTACTACATGTACAATAGTCCCCTCTCTCTCTGGGACCAGGAAGTTCGGAAATCTCACTGGTACTTCCCTGGTCTAATAAATGGACATAAACACACATATACATAAATCTTATCTTACATCCCTGACCTTGTTTTTGTTTTCTTTCCAGAACGATCAGTCGACTGCCGACCTCCACATCATTGGAAACACAGACTTGTCCTTTTTACGCGGAAAGGTGCGTTCTACTCGTTATCAACGTTATCAACTCACACGGACTAAAACCATCCTCGAGTGACTGCAAAGGGGCAGGAACATGTGTTTTCAAAGTATTTTAATCAAACAGCTCAGTATAGAAGGAGTCGTAGGGTTAGTTCTCCAGGTTCACTCTTCACTTACTCTACAGGACCTTCATTTGTCCCTTTTATCTGGGCACTGGTTTGTTGTGGGTAGATTACTGGGATACAGTAGTGTAGAGTAGGGTAGAGTAGGGTAGGGTAGAGTAGGGTAGAGTAGAGTAGAGTAGGGTAGGGTAGGGTAGAGTAGGGTAGAGCAGAGTAGGGTAGGGTAGGGTAGAGTAGGGTAGGGTAGGGTAGGGTAGGGTAGAGTAGGGTAGAGTAGAGTAGGGTAGGGTAGGGTAGGGTAGAGTAGGGTAGAGTAGGGTAGAGTAGAGTAGAGTAGGGTAGGGTAGGGTAGGGTAGAGTAGGGTAGAGTAGAGTAGAGTAGAGTAGGGTAGGGTAGGGTAGGGTAGGGTAGGGTAGGGTAGAGCAGAGTAGAGCAGAGCAGGGCAGAGCAGAGCAGGGCAGGGCAGGGCAGGGCAGCGTAGGGTAGAGTAGAGTAGAGTAGAGTAGAGTAGAGTAGAGTTGAGTAGAGTAGGTGAAAACTGGGCTTGTCTCACTAGTTGATGCTCTGGGCTGAGAGCAGGGACCAAAAATAAATGAAAGCAAATGATAGAACTGTTTTGAGAGAACAACTAGTTATGTCGTTTCATTGTTGCGGTTTGAAAGCTACATACCCCAGCTTTAAAAGACACACACTAAGAGATATGTGTTTTTTTTTCCAATGATAAACAAACTGGCAAAAAGCTGGTTTCAAATGATAAATAAAATGTCAAACTAGTGAATAAATCTGTAGAACGGCCATTTTTATTGGATCTACTTAAACCCTGGTCCTCACTGCCTCCATCAGGTGCAGAAATAGCTCTGTCCATTTGCCCACATTCTCTCCGACCTCGGGTCCCAAAACCCATAGATACCCCCTCACCCCCTCCCCCCCTCTCCCCCCCCTGCCCCCCCTCTCACAAAGAGCCCACAGAACCCTGGCCGCGTGAACAAGGGAGTCATTCGAAACTTCAGCTGAGGAAAAAGTGCGCAACACCCAGACACTTAGAGCCGACTTTAGACACATGTTCGTTACTGCAGGAGGAGAATGGTCCTCTGTGTGTGTGTGTGTGTGTCTGTGTGTGTCAGACAGGAGGAAGGCGGCCAATCTGGTAACTGTAAAAGACGCACAAATGCAGGTTTGGCAGCGGCAGACGCGCTTCAGGGTGCATTGTGTGTGTGTGTGTGCGTGTGTGTACGTGTGTGTGTGAAGATGGACGGTGTTATTTGGATAATAAGTTCTTTCTCTGTTGTGTGTTCGCAGTGTGTGCTGGTGGTGGAGGTGAGTGTCAAGTGCAAATACATACTCATTCATGCTGTATCACTAGGACTCCCACAGCCGTCATTTTGACTGCTGTAGCACTAGGACTCCCACAGCCGTCATTTTGACTGCTGTAACACTAGGACTCCCACAGCCGTCATTTTGACTGCTGTAGCACTAGGACTCCCACAGCCGTCATTTTGACTGCTGTAACACTAGGACTCCCACAGCCGTCATTTTGACTGCTGTAGCACTGGAATTCTCAAAAATGTTTAGTTTTCCACCAGATTTTTCAAATGTAAGAAATGTATAAGTTTGTTTTCGTTTACCTTTACTCAGTTTTAGTAAGTGCCAAAAACAGGTGAAAAATACAGCAAAACAGTTTGCTGAAAGGCTGAAGGCTAACTGCCAGCAAGTAAACAGTTTGTTGCTATGGTAACTAGCACAGGCTCAGAACCAGAAGCAGAACCTTAAAGAAAGGGGCTTTAAATGCCATTAAAGTTGTTCACTAAGCTCTAGTTCTTGTTCTGAAGTTTTCTAACTGACAGTGATTGGCCAGAGTGATGCTGGAAGCCACGGTTACCAAGGAATTTCCATGGATACTGTTTTTTTGTGGTTTGGTTGCTAGGATACGGTACCAGATGCTAAAGTGTAAATGGAAACGCAACCAGGTAGAGTACAGTAGAGTAGAGTAGATTAGAGCCGAGTCGAGTATAGTATAGAGTAGAGTAGAGTAGAGTAGGGTAGGGTAGGGTAGAGTAGAGTAGAGTAGGTCTGGTGGAAAAGGTGCTTCAGTGTGACATGCTGCAGTAACTGACGCTATAGTTTGAGTATAGTTACTGCTCTGTCTTATCCCTGAGCAGAACAAGGGTCAATCTTGTTCCTCTGTGATTCCTCTGTGACCTGTGCTCTCTGCTGCCCCCTCCAGGCCATGGTGGACACAGGGAAGACCATGCAGGCTCTGCTCAAGCACGTGCAGACGTTTGAGCCCCAGATGGTGAAGGTGGCGGGGTGAGTCTGGAGGACCGGACTGGAGGACCGGACTGGAGGACAGGACTGAAGGACCGGACTGGAGGACAGGACTGGAGGACCGGACTGAAGGACCGGACTGGAGGACCGGACTGGAGGACCGGACTGGAGGACCGGACTGGAGGACAGGACTGGAGGACAGGACTGGAGGACAGGACTGGAGGACAGGACTGGAGGACCGGACTGGAGGACCGGACTGGAGGACAGGACTGGAGGACCGGACTGGAGGACCGGACTGGAGGACCGGACTGGAGGACCGGACTGGAGGACCGGACTGGAGGACCGGACTGGAGGACAGGACTGGAGGACCGGACTAGAGGACCGGACTGGAGGACCGGACGTGAGGACCGGACTGGAGGACCGGACTGGAGGACCGGACTTGAGGACCGGACTGGAGGACCGGACTATTCTTGGATTAAAAATATAATAATCATGAATGAATAAACTCTCCAGAATAATCTACAGATATAATGTAAATGTAATATTGTGTAATTATGTAAATATAATGTCCTGTCTGTTTCAGTCTCCTGGTGAAGCGAGTCCCCAACATGGCCGACAGTCTGACGGACTGTAAGTTAGAACTCAGAGAATCTAAATCACAACAATAGAAGCTTTGTAATGACAGTCTTTTTGACTGCTGTTGACTTTGGCAGATGTGGGCTTTGAAATCCCCGACCACTTTGTGGTTGGATACGCTCTGGACTACAATGAGTACTTCCGGGACCTGAACGTAAGTGCAGCATCACCTGAGTCTCTGTGAAGCCCTGGGACAAAGGGACCAGGAACAAAACAATCAAAGAGCTACAGATCTGTGTTTGAAAGCTCATGGTGCTCACCGCAACTGGTATCCAAGAAACCAGGACAATACCAGGACAACACCAGGAAAACAACCAGGAGAAGAACCAGTCCCTCCCACATTATAGGAGCTTTAGATTACCATTAGCTAAACTTAACAGTCAGGGATCTTAAAAAACACACCACAGGTACAAATATTCAGCTACTGACCCACAACAAACCGGAATCTGTGGAAATTCCTTGGCAACCATGGCTTCCAGCAGCACTCTTGTCAATCGCTGTCAGTTAGAACACTTTAGTACCAGCTTGGCCTGGATAGAACCAGGACCAAGAAGGACTAAAGAAGGACTCGATACAGGTTATACTGGGAGTACAGTAGAGGAGGGTAGAGTAGAATGAAGTAGAGTGGAGTAGAGTAGAGTAGAGTAGAGTAGAGTAGAGTAGAGTAGACTAGATAGATAGATAGGGTAAAATAAGTTGAGCAGAATAGGGTAGAATAGAGTAGGGTAGAGTACATTATAGTAGAGCAGAGTAGGGCTGGTGGAAACGGGGCTTATTTACTCAAACGTAGAGCATAACTGACCCAGAGTAACAAGTGATGGAGACGTGTTTCTCTCATATCTCTCTAACATCATCTCTCTGTCTGTGAATAAGTGAATAATAACCCTCTCGTTCCAGCCCTGACCTGTTACATGAGCATTTACAGATTAACCCGTGTTTAAAGGGGACACAGTGTATTTATGACCAAACTCAGAGGAGGCCGGAGCGTGGAATTCCAGGGTTAGCATCTCATCATGGTGGTTTCTCTATCAGCACAAGAGAGATGGCCTGAACTCCCAGCTCTCTCCGACTGAAGAACTAATCTGTGATGTGTTTGGAGACGATCGCTCAAAACTCACCCCCTTCTGCTTCCACCGCTAAAAATCCACTCAATCTTTACCCAAATATTTACAGGCAAAACTTTTCTGATTCAAACATGTAACGGGAAAGTGTTTGTGTAACTTTGTGATGACCTGTTTTTGTCTCCTTTGTCCGCAGCATATCTGTGTCATCAGCAAGAGCGGGAAGATGAAGTACAAGGTTTAAGGGGAATGAGAACCATACGTTTTGGAGGATCCTGACTGTATTTATTATCGTGGAATGTTTTCTCGCCAATAAAAATGTAAGAAAAAATGTACAGAGTGACTTGGCGAGTTTGAAGAAGAATTTTTGAGGGATGCATTTTATCCATGTTATAAAATAGGTTGAGCTCCCTCTATAGTGGAACATATATTATTTAGCAGATACGTGTACATTTTGTCCATTCATTTTCCTCCACTTCATCTGTTGCTGGGTGGCAGGGGCAGCAGTCTAGACACAGACTGCCACACACACACTTCCTCCAGCTCATCTGGGGGAATCCTGAAGCGTTCCCAGACCAGAGAGAGACACAGTCCCTCTGTGTCCTGGTCTCTCTCTGGTCTCTCTCTGGTCTCTCTCTGGTCTTTCTCTGATCTATCTCTGGTCTCTCTCTGGTCTCTCTGGTCTCTTTGTAGTCTCTCTCTGGTCTCTCTCTAGTCTCTCTCTGGTCTCTCTCTAGTCTCTCTCTGGTCTCTCTCTGGTCTCTCTCTGGTCTCTCTCTGGTCTCTCTCTGGTCTCTCTTTAGTCTCTCTCTGGTCTCTCTCTGGTCTCTCTCTGGTCTTTCTCTGATCTATCTCTGGTCTCTCTCTGGCCTCTCTCTGGTCTCTTTGTAGTCTCTCTCTGGCCTCTCTCTGGTCTCTCTCTGGTCTCTCTCTGGTCTCTCTCTAGTCTCTCTCTGGTCTCTCTCTAGTCTCTCTCTGGTCTTTCTCTGATCTATCTCTGGTCTCTCTCTGGTCTCTCTGGTCTCTTTGTAGTCTCTCTCTGGTCTCTCTCTAGTCTCTCTCTGGTCTCTCTCTGGTCTCTCTCTGATCTATCTCTGGTCTCTCTCTGGTCTATCTCTGGTCTCTTTGTAGTCTCTCTCTGGTCTCTCTCTGGTCTTTCTTTGATCTATCTCTGGTCTCTCTCTGGTCTCTCTGGTTCCCAGGTCTTCTTTGGTTTTACATCTGCGTTCCACACACTACATCCGTCCTGATGCCTCATGGTCCTTTCTTGTGTTTAAAATGGACAAAAATAGATCAAAAACAAATAACCATGTACTTTCTGACACATTAAAGGCAGGACAACACAGATACAGTAAGTATACTGTAACTGGGACTGGGATAAGCTTTAGCGTGGGCTCGCTCGCTTTGGGATGAAATACCGAGATTTTAGAGTCCTGTCGCTGTAATCTCTAAGGGAGAGTTCCGATCACTCAGACTGTTCTTTATCTTTCTTATTATCATTTATTGTAATACATTTTACATAATACCTGTTTTAGCAGCTGTCCTCAACACCAGGGTTTTACCGTCTGACCTTCTCTCTCGCCCACAAAGCCCTCATTGTACCTCTGCACCTCTTTATCCGACCACATCAGCGTTTGGCAGCGATGCTAACCCGGCTCCTGCCCCCCGCACTGCCCTGGGAACCCACTCGCACCATTGTCCTCCCGGTCCCGGCTGCAGAGGAGGCTGAAAGAGAGACGCAGGTTCCACCGTCTGAGCCCGCCCACCCAGAGGACGCACAGGTACGGCCGTACAAAGGGAACAAAACTGGAATTGTAGCAGTGAATGGCCACACATCAGCGTGTTTGACATCTGAAGCCGGAGCGAGAGCAGAGCAGGGAGAGGGTCTGATTTCAGGCCATTAACTGTACCACACATTCAATGTAAACTGCTATTAGCTGACATCAGTGTGTGTGAAACAGCAGCTACATCCTCTGCTACAGCTCAGGCTTGGACAACTCTGTACTCACTCACTCATTCATTCATTCATTGGGGCCAGGTCTATTCATACCTGTCATAGTCCACTGCAGACTGGAGGCAGACAGAGTTATCAATGAACTCATAGTAATGCCTATTCAGTACAGGTGAAAGTCTCACAATTACAGTAGGACTCCCTTAAAAAAGAGCTTTCTTAATCTCAATGGGACTTTCCAGGTTAAATGAAGGTTAAATAAATAAATAATAGCAGCCTCAGTGGTCGTCATCCTCCAGGCCTCAGACCCTGGTCCAGGTCGACTCCAGACCAAACTCTGGTCCATGAGTCTGTGATGCTGTGGGGCACTTGAGGAGGTTATGGGCGATTGAGAGTAAAGCGAGCGTGTCCAGATCGGAACTGAACGGAGAGAGCAGCTCCCACGGACCAAAGACCTGTTTGCGTTGAAGGCGTTGGTGTTTGGATTTCAACAGGCGTGGACCAGCGAGGACCAGCGTGGATCAGTGTGGACCAGCGAGGACTAGCGTGGATCAGTGTGGACCAGCGAGGACCAACGTGGACCAGCATGGACCACGTT